CTGATTAACATCAAAATGGCAGTGAAAAGAAGCGTGGCTGTACTCAGTGGTGCTTTCATTGCATGTTGGTTTTCATTGTGCTTTGCTAAGCATTGTTGAAGTGATTGAGGGGAGACTGATGTGACTTCTCATAATAATGAAGTGCTGTACATAACTCCAGTGTAGTACTGTTTCCCCTACAAAGCCATCTTCTTCCCATATGAAGGTAATCTGTGGGGATTCACCACTTTATCGGGTGATAACTTTGTACTATAGGCTCTATTTAAATTCAGTTTCTTCAGATAACATAATTGTGTTTTTTTTAAGGATGCCTGAACAATTTCCATGCCTCTCTTCCTGATAGGTTTTGTGTCCCATCACACAGCATTTGATATTATTGCACTTGTTATGTCATCCACAGTCAAGGAAAAGCTTTCTCTTGACACTGATGGTAATAGTCTTTTTGTGTAAGGAGGAAGGTTACTGCATCTCTCGTAGCCCCAGAAAATAACGAAAGCTGTTTTAAGGATACCACTACATTTGTGAGGGTAACTTATTTCCATTCCTGGACCCAAGTGTGCTGAACATTTAACCTTTAGCACATAGAACTTGAAGAGGCACAATCTCTTTCTCATAGGAAAAAAACCTCTTTTCAAGTACCACTTCTAGAAAATCAATTTAGTGAGATAATGTTTGTGCCTCCCGTGCTTTTTCACTGTACTAGAGGCTGCTGCATTTGCTGGAGATGGGTGTGGGTGTGCACAGAGAATTCAGTGGCGATCCAGCTAGGAGAGATGAGTATTTTCTCATTTAATTGCCTTTTGTTTTTAGGGCCAAACCAGATTCTGGTATAGGGATTCAACAGCTGACTTTTGACCTGTTAAATATTATAGACCAAAGCATCAGTATTATTATTCTATAATACCCTTTTACAAGAAGCAGCAAATGTTGTGTTGCCTGGAATTTGTAATAGCAGAACAGTGGAATGGAAATGAAAGATGGAAATAAAATAACAATCTCTTTCAGTTCATTTGACTGCTAAAGAAGATGGATAGAGTCTTTTTTGTTAAAACGTTTACAGAGCAGGAGATGGCAGTGATGGTCATCTGTGCCATAGTTTCTGAAATACCTCTCAACTGCCTTTAAGTGAGTAGGCTTCTGTAGTGAATTTTACTCTCCTAATCAGTGAAGGAAAATTTACTCTCCTAATAACTTCAGATAAATGATTCTGAGCTTTGTCTTTACATCGAGTGTAAACCTCCAGGAAGCTTTCTCGGGTAAAGATCCCGTTACCTTCACTCCAGAAAAATTGCTTCTGAAATGTCAAAAAACATAGAGTGTCCTTGATTTATGGAATAAAGCAGGTTTTTTTCAATAACTTAGAAAATAGAATGCAAACGTGAGCTTACATAATACAGGTGTATTCATATTGGCTTTCAGGATCGTGGAGCTGAAAGACTCGGTTTGTGATGTCAACCTCGGCTTCAATAAAATCTCATCTATTTCCTTGGAGCTTTGCATGCTCCATAAATTGACGCATTTGGATATCAGGTTTGTGACGTGTGTTGGACTTCCTTTCTCAGTAACTTATTTTCATGCCTTTTTAAACCAGCCATCTGTTACAGTGGAATAGCAGTCCTGAAATAAATTTTCATTTCCCAAAATGCCTCCATGACAGTTGAATGACCGGCAGATCCGAAATAGCAAGTGGCCTAGATTTAGGCATTGGTTAAAGAGAAAGACAAAAAACAAGTGGACAGGCTCTGAGACTTGCTGTGATGAAGGGTCTTGCCTCAGTCATAAAAAGGTTCCCGGTGATGTTAAGTTGCTGTTTAAGAACACCCCCCCAGAAGAAACCCACACCAAAAAATCCTGGAGGATAGCTGGGAAGTAGTCCAGCGAAGGTGCAGATGTTGTGCTGCCTGAAACTGGAGCGGTCTGTAGGTATTTTATCTGCAATGTAGTTACTTCCTGTCATTTTCACCGTCTCTTAACTCCTGAAAGATGCTCGTTGCATTTCTTTGGACATCAGGGTTGGCTTGCTGGCACTGGTTACCTGTGGTGTTTCACAAACTGAAAAGTAGCAAAGCACAGCTGCAGAGACAGGTTTTTCCTTGGGCTTGATGTAAAGTAATCTGCTGGTGCCTGGAGGGAGTCCAGCGAGGGGCCCCCGAGCTGAAGGGCCGGGAGCATCCCTGCTGCGGGGAGAGGCTGCAGGAGGGGCCCTCTGGACACCCGGAGATGCTTTTTCACCATGAGGGTGACCGAGTGGCTCCAGGGAGGAGGTGGAGGCTCCATCCTGGGAGATATGCAGAAGCCACACGGGCACGGGGCTCTGGGCAACCAGCTCGGGGGGGGTCCCTGCCAGCCCCACCCCGGCGGGGAGGCAGTGACACACGTGCTGCCGGTAGAGCTGCGAGGCTGAAGGTTGCAGACGTGGATGGTGATACGAGATTGATGAGGGAACGAGCTTGAACATCTCCAGGATTAAGAATTTAGGTCTAAGTCTGGGCATCTTTCAGTGAGTGGTCTTTATTTTCCTGTGCGGGCTCGTTGTGTCTCACTCAGGATGTGCCTTGTCTGTCCTTACAAACCCGTCTTGTATTTAAGCAGCTTCTGAACGGCTTCCCTTTGTGGGAAGCGCCACGGTAGCAATAGCCATAAGCGAGTTTGCTACAGCAGTTGGACACCAGGCTGAACGAATTTTGCTGAGGTTTACAGTTGCCCCACTGATTCCCTTTGGCACCGAGCTCTGGGTGGTATCGTAAGCTCGCTCTGAAGCCCAAGGAGCTGAATTGCCAGGCAGGTTTGTGGAGCTGTTGGATGCTTTGACATAGCGGGGAATGTTTAGAGGACAGACTTGAAATCTGCTGGCAGAATTGAGAATGCACGCCTGGCTCGCGTTAGCAAGCATCTGTACTTGAGCATGGTCTTGACCCACTTATGAAGCAATTAATTGGTTTAAGACAGCAGGTTGGCACTGATAAACATGCCTATTCTGACTCTGGATTCTTAACTAAAACTTTGTGAAAGTTAGTGATAATTGCTTGTCTTCATTTGATACACAGAAACAATTTTTTGACGTCTTTACCTGAGGAAATGGAGGCGCTGACAAGACTGCAAATAATAAATCTTTCTTTTAATAGGTGAGCAACTATTTAGATTTTTTTTTTTTTAATGTACAATAATAAAAAAAAACGGGCTGAATTCAGTATGATTTTCCTGTGGTGTAAAAATGAGGCAGGACTCGATCAACCTGTGAGCTTAAAACCAATGAAGTGAATGTATGTCTTTATACAACAGGTAGTGTATTTTTGGAACTTTCTGCTACAAGGGTTGTGGAGAGAGCCAGTAGCAACTCGTTAAAAAAGGGGTAAAACAACCTTGCGAACAATCTGTCCAGAAGTGGACACCAACAGGACTGCCCTCTAGTACCCCAGCAGTTCCAGACGATGGAAAACGGGGGGAGTGCGGGGCCGTGGTGGGGCTGGGAGCCCCGTGCCCCCGGGCAGGGCAGCTCCGGGGAGCCCAGGGGCGCAGTGGGCCGGTGGTGTGCCCTGCGGCCGCGTCTCCCACCTGCCAGAAGCCGGCCTGGCCGTTCCCACTGTGCGCAGGGTAAAAGGGTGGATGCTTTCTCCTTTCCGAGCAGCAGGTTTGAACGTTTAAATAAATAAATCTAAAACACTGTCTGATTTTTTTTAAAGGCTGAAAATTTTCGGAACGCCCTATTTCTGACTTTCATTGGTTTGCCTCCTTTTTCTTCCTGAAGACTTAAAGTATTTCCCAGCGTCCTTTATCACATCCCAGCCCTGGAGACCATCCTGCTCAGCAACAATCAGGTCGGGTCCATAGACCCTCTGCAGCTAAAGAAGATGGGGAAGCTTGCAACACTGGACCTTCAGAACAACGACCTCCTCCAAGTGCCCCCAGAACTTGGAAACTGTGAAACTCTGAGGTGGGTGTTAGTGGTGGTGACCCGTTTTATAAAACTATCCTCTGGTTTCTTCTGTCTGGAGGCGTGACTGGGTGTCCTGCATCGTGCGCCTCGGAGGCGGCAGGGACGCCCAAGTTACCCCTCCCTGGGGTTTTCCCCTTCAAGGACACTTCCCAGAGGGACTTCAAAAATACGGAGTAAGCCACCGCCCCCACAAGCAAAACCCTCCGCAGGGATTTCTGCGTAGCAAAGAACGGCGGCTGGCAGCTAAGCTAGAAAGTGGAGGGTTACGACTGGACATAGTTTTCCCCTTTTCCTGTACCACTTCTATATGTGAGAAGTTCTTTTTCTCACTCTTTCCTCTGGCAGAGGCTTGCTGAGGAAGTAGGGTATGTGTGTATTGTGTGTCTACAATAATATACCACCAGTGATTTATTAGCATAAACGAAAATTCAGCTGTCTCTAAAGAAGGTAAGTCAGTGTGAGCTAGGGAAGCAGAAATGAAAATCCTTTTAGTGGAACGGAGGAAGAATTGCTTAGGAATTTCGGAGGGTTCAGAAGTCTCTGTGCGGTGTGTGAACGTGTTGGTACAAGGCAAAGTCTTTAACACAGGTACCTCCAACTCCCTGTTTTTGTAGGACGCTGCTGTTGGAAGGAAATCCATTCCGCACGCCCCGGGCAGCCGTCCTGGCGAAGGGAACGGCTGCGGTGCTGGAGTACCTGAGGAGCCGAATTCCCACCTGAAACAACTCCAACTCCTCCTCCCCCTCCTCCTCCTCCCCCTCCTCCTGTGCCAGAAAGCTCTGTGACCCTGCCTGTAGTTCGCATGTTGAGAAGGAACTCGCCTACCAAACATTTTCCCCTCGGGGCTGCATGTTTTAAGAGCACATTTTAAACCCTCACAATACCTGTTCACACTTTTGGGAATAAAGAACGCGGCTGAGAGCTGCCTTCAGTACTAGCAACAGTGGGGTTTTCTACTGTTAAGCTCATTTTTAAAAACGACTGTCAACATCAAAGTATTTGAGCGGAAGGCGGGAGTAACCACTTTGATTTGTGAGCTCCTGCAAGGTGCGGGGGTCTGGGCTGCTGGCTCAGAGCAGGGGGTGCTGCTCGGGGGGGGGGTGGGGGGGGAATGAAATGCTGGGGCCCTGCCCCTGGGTGGTGGTGAGGAGGGAACCGCTGTCCCCGGCTTTTAAGCATATGCTAGAATTAAGGTTTTTCTAACCGGTAACACCTGGATACGTTTTTATTTAGACGCTTCCATGTCTTGAAAGCCAGTACCACGTCACGGATATTGACACCCCAAAAAGGCGGCTGCTTGTGGGGGTCCCTGCGAACCTCTGCTGCTTCTGACGGCGAACTGCCAAGTCCTCTGCCCTGGAGAAAAGGCTTTGGGGTAGGAGACCCCCCCCCCCGGTGAGCTTTTGGGACAGCAAGGGGCCCCGCTCTCCCTTTGAGCCTGGCCGCCAGCGCGGGGCTGGCCCTGCCGCCCCCCGGCCTTGGTAACGCAGCAAAACCTGCTGCGGTTCAGCAGTCCAGGTTTCGAATGTGCTGAGAATTAACAGAAAATACGCTTGAGTCATCCTCGGGGGGGGGGGGTCCGGATTCAGCGAAGCACCTTCTGGGGGGGGGGGGGGGGCGGCGAGGGCACCCGATGCTCCCTGCGCCTGGCCACGCCGCGCTCCCCACCCCCGAGAGAGGGTCCCCCAGAACCGGCTGGAGCCGCCGCGTGTGAACCCCGGAGCGAGGGGCCGGGGAAGGGACGGGCAGAGGGTCTGCTCCGAACTAGGCATCGGGCTGGTGGAGCTGCTGCTGCTGCTGCTGCTGCTGCTGCTGCTGCTGCTGCTGCTGCTGCCGCTGCTGCCACTGTCCCCCAGCCACCTCCCCCGGCCTGCCCGGCAGCGCTGCCTGCAAAACTCGGGGCCTTTCCCACAGTCAGAGGCGACAAAGGTTACTTACAATAAGGTGACGGTTTTATTATTTATACAATAAAGAGACTTTTTAATGTTATTCAAAACACTTTTTTTAAATACTGAAAAAGTTGGGTACATCAAAGCCGAAAAATGGCTCTGCTATACACTGCACAGCATTGTTTTAGTCCCTGTATTTGTTTTATGTACAGAAGCATCTGCAAAATGCATTCTAAACACAATATGCACCTTACGGATAAGTGTCATACATGAAATAAAACTGGAAGGATACAACCTGCATGTGCAAATGAACTAACGATATAATTGATTGCACTGAATCAATAGATTTAAAATATAATTTTGAAGTACCTTTTTGCACATAAAATGAAGCAGCTTTCAAGTTCAGTAAGTCTTTATACTGCAAAAAACATTAAGTACATTCACAATCTATGTTAATAAAGTAGTAAATATTTCTTCATTCAGCTGTATTTACATTAATACTGTAATGAAACTGAAAAGTACAGTTAGTCATTTGTAATATAGCAATCTTTTAACACATACAAAAATGACCATTTTCTGTATATAATTTAAGCTCAAAATCACAATTATCTCAAAATATTAATTACAATACAGCCATCTCCATCATAATTAAACATGTCTTTTATAAAATGGTAAAATTTTTAATAAAGTAAGCTGTTGGTTCGGAACTGGATACAGTACTCACAAGTAGAAAACGGAACTGCTGAGCGCGGGGCCGTGCCCGGGGCGGGGGCGCAGCCCCCCCGTGCCGGCACAGAGGCGGCCAAGGCCCCGGCTCACAGAGATGCCGCCTCGTGTGCCGCGGGGCTGGGGCTGGGGCTGGGGCTGGGGCTGCACAAATCGCCTCGCAAGGGCCGGGGGGGTTCTTATGCAACGCAGCGACGTCCCTCCCTTCCAGAATATGGGCTGGAATTCTCCAGGAAGAAGCTTGGCAAAAGGCTTTTCTTTTTTTCTTTTTTTTTTCCTTTTTTTTTTTTTTTTTGCCTTTTTTCTTTAATTATTTTTATTTTTTTTTTTGTTTTGTTTTTTTTTATAAGAGAAACTACTTCAACCCTATGATTCTCAAACACTGGCTTTCGAAATCTGCTTTTCCAGGAAAGCTGCCGCTAGCCGCCGGGGGCCGGTGCTGTGCCGCACGCGGGGCGCGACGCCCGCCACCCAAACCCGAGGTGTTCCAAACAAAACCAAAGCGCCAATTGCTCCGTATCCTATCCAAACGACTGGCCTGAAAGTTGTATCGGTTGGTTGGATTCCGCTCACGCTGGCGAGCCTGACAAGTGAAATAAATCCTGACCTCTGACTGCCTGGAACTGGAACGGTACGGCTTCGTGCGCTTCCTTAAAATTAAATTGTTGCCCGCAGCAGCCGGGGGGGGGGGGGGGGGGGGAGCGCTGGGGCGGGATGGGGCAGGGGGGTCGCTGCACGCTGGGAGCTCAAACTGCAGGTCAAATTTTATTTTCGGTTGGCAATTCTAAATGTAACCCCCCCCACACCCCCACGTTAAAAGCCCTGCTGAGGCGGGCGCTGGCCCCGGCCCCCCCGCCGAGGCTTTCCTGGTGTCGGGAGGTGGGTGCCAGGAGAAATCCTGGTTCTGCTCCACAGAGCTGGTGGGGGGGGGGGGGGCCCCCAGCTCCAACCCTCCTCCTGCCAGCGCCCCGGGAGCAGCCACCCCCGACAGACAGACACTCTGACAGACAGAGTGGGATTAGGGGGGTGGTGGTTAATACTGTCTTTGCGTTTACTGGTGCGAATATCTCTCTCGGACATACCCCCCCCACACACACACACCCCCCCCAGCCAGAAATAAGCCTTGGGTTTGCTTGCATAAGGTAATTAAATGCTGTACCACAAGCCAGCGAGGTTGAACCAAGGGACATCTCGCCTGGCACCAGCACCACAGCTCCGACCGCACTGCTGGGCTCGCTCCCCGCGTGTTCCTACCGCCGCTCAACCCACGGCTTTTACAGCGGCCGGTGTCCGCCCCCCCCCCCCCCCCCACGCCGCAGGAGCCTCCCGCCCGGCCGGCCCCGCCGCGGGACCTGGCGTGGGGCTGTGAAACGGGGCTGCAGGCGGGGCAGAAATGATCTCGGAAAACCAGCAGCAACCCCGCTTTGCCGATGCTAAGCGGCTGCTAGGGCAGCCCACCGGCCTCTCAACAGTTTATCAACAGCCGGCTACAAACCGCAAGCTGCGAATGGGAAAATGGGTCAATTATTAAGACTGGGGAGTCCCGCAGGCTTCCTGGGGTCTGGTCCTAACTTTTTTCTTTAAATGAGTATTCTGGAAGCAGCTTTTTTCCCTTTTTTTTTTTTTTTTTTTTTTTCCTCCATCCCCCCCCTTTCTTTTTTTTTGCCCCTCAAGAGCTGCCTTGCAACACGCCTGCAGTGAGCAAACGTGCTCCTACCACTCTGGGCTTTCGGCACGCTGCGGGGTGCGAGGGGTGGCCCAGCAACGGGAGCTCCGGCACCTTAAAACTCGTTGCAAAATGAGGAGAAGGGAATCGCATCACCTCCCTTTCCTAACCCAGCCCTTCCCTGAGGAGCCTCCCTTCAGTGTTTATTGCGTGGAGAAATCTCAAGGGGGGTTCCCAGGCGATGGCCCCACCGGCCGCTTTCGGAAGGGGCTGCGCTGGTGCCCGTCGGTGGGGGGGGGGGGGGGGAGAGCAGGATGGGGGGGTGCTGGGGGTGGTGTAAGAAGGGAAACCATCAGCATTTTGTGAGCGGATCAAAATGCGTCCACACACGTGCAAGTGCCCCCCACCCCAGGACTTCACCTCAGGGCCGACCGTCACCTGCCGCCAGCACGTGCCATGTAATCGTATTTAGTTGGAAATAAAAAAATAATAATAAAAAAAAAAAAGAAATCTTGACGTGCAAAGCGTGCACCCTGCCTGGGAGCTGCCCGCAGACCGGGCTGTGCCTGCGAGGTTACACCAGGGAGAGACGGGGGGTGCGGGTCACTTTGAAGGACTAATGTAAAAACCCTAAGTAGTCCCATTAAAGCCATTTTAATGGCTCCTAATACCGGTGCTTGCTAAACATCATTTCAGCCAGTCTGAATAAAAACAATGCCAAAAAGATAATATTTGGTGGTATTTTGGGGGGCAGTGGGGGTCGGTGTTTAAGCTTCGCTACCGTATGGTTCAGCCGCCAGGCCGAACTCCCCCCCCGGCCCCCGTCTGGAGTCGGTGAGAGCGTTGGCTAAGTTAAGGACTTCAGCGTGACACTCCACCGCGCTAATTTCATTTTACTGTCATTTCCTTTTCATTAAAACCCATCAATGAAAGCACTGGGCAATCTCGACGTGGAGCCCTGCACACAGCCCCCACGGATTACGCCACCGCGCTCTCCACCTCGTAAACTCAGCACGCGGAAAAACAGCCGAGCACAAAACAACGCGGGATTAACAAGCACTAAAGGCTCCCTCGCTTGGTTTTTTTTTTTTTTTTTTCAGTCGGGCAATTTTTGTTCTCCTGGTTCTGGGTCCTAAGGCAGAGCCCTCGTCACCCCTCGCGCACCTGCACCCCCCCCCCCCCCAGCACATTCCTGGCGCTCCGTACGTGGCCGGTGCGGTTCCCGCTGCCGGGGGGTCCGTCCCGCCGCGGTGCTGGGCGATTTTCCACGTGAAAAGCCAAAGGCAGCTCCACAGAAGAAATTCAGGTGCAGAAATGCCTTTTGCGGGACCTAATTCCCGTTCAGCGTAACTAACTACAAGCTACGTAGGTGTCTGCAGCTTTCCGAGCACGATGTCGACTCAATTATTTCTTTTTTTTTTAAAGGGCAATGAGGACTTAGGGGAATTTTTGGCCTCTGAAAGGCCACGAATGTTAAAAATGGGCTCTGGCAGAGCCTGTGCCATCGGCTGGCGTGTTATGAAATCGCACCCGCGTGACAGAAAACGGAAAAATTGAGCCCGTAACGGTCGAAAACCAAATCCTGTGCATCCAGCAAGCTTTCTCAGCTTGCGGCATCGCGAAGATTTTAACTTCCGGAAAAGTAGCGCTTATTTAAATTTACGCTCTGAATGCCACCAAATCATTTATTCCCGCTGTAAACGTTCGGATTAGCATCGGCCGTGGCTCGCTGCGGCGCCTGGTGGGGCCCTGCCAGCCCGGTGCCACAGCGGCTCTTCCAGCGGGAAGGCCTGCGTGGGAAAGGCAAAACTCCCGTGGTGTGGGGACCTGCCCAGCCAGCCTGGAATTTATGTTTCACTCCTATTTATACTGACTGACTGCCGACTGGGGAGCGAAGAAGGGGCCATGCAAACAACCAGCGCGCGGGGAACTTCCAGGCGAACGTAGAGGTGTCGCCTTCCAAATGATTTCTAAAGGAATCCCCTCAGCGGGGCCGAGCCTGCTCCACAGCTGCCATTTGGTTAAAAAAAAAATAAAAGAAATCCCCACGATTCAAAAGCTGGTGCTTCGTAACAACATGAGGGGGTAGTTCCTGCTGTACCTGTTTACGGACTAATTTTTAACTCAGCTTTGCTGCTGGGGCGCTTTCTCTCTCCTCTCCCACGGGCAAGGTGGGCTCGGGGAAGCTGCCCTCTCCCGGCACACGAAGCCGCAGCCGCGGGTGGGTGCGCGGTACCCCCTCAGCAGATTTCTCCCCCGCGAAGCTGCCGGGGGGGCCCCCCCAAAGCGCCCGTTTCGGCGGGGGTGGGGGCACCCGGGGGCGGCGCGCGCACCGGCACTCGCGTCCTTTGAAGCTCAGGTTAATTTAAAGCCTACTCACGTCCTGTCGGAGAAGGGTCTGGGGATTTCTGGAGGCTCCCCCAGGCTGGAAAGGCAAACGCTCCCGCCGTGCCCGCGCCGTGGCGACCCTGCGCTGGGCCTGGGGTTTCTCAGGGTGTTGCCAATCCGGGCGGGAAGGGTGGGAGCGAGCCCGGCCTCCCGCCGCCCCCAGATCCCCCCCCCCCCCCCCGACAAAGTCTGCGGGGAGGGGGGGTTTTTTTTGGGGGGATTTTTTTTTTCCCTTCCCGCCTGACCCAGCAGCGCGAGGGCCGCCCGCGCCCCCCAGCCGGCAGCAGCGCCCCGCCGCCTTCCGCGCCCCGGCTAAAGGGGTGCGGGAAGGTTAAAGCCTCAGCGAGAGCCAAACAGCGAGCAACGCAGGGCTGGGGGAGCGGGGAAAGCGAGGGGAGGGCCTACAGTTTTAAACGAGCGAGTTAGGGAACAGAATCAGCAGCAACAAAAAAAAAAAAAAAAACCAAAAAAACCAACAAAAAAAACCCAAACCAGTTTTCCTGCCACCCGTCACAACCTTCTTCCATTTATGAACCACATCTGTTCTAAACTCGCTGTCCGGCCGTTCAGTGTGTTCACGTGGAATCGGCTAAGAGTGTCAGACAAAAGGAGGTTAACCAATTTTCATGTAGGTTGTTTATATCTAGGTCCCAGAGTTGACAGTATGATTTATTAAGTAGCTCACCCTGTGTAGTGACATTTTTACTAATTAATATGGAGCCAGCTATACACACTGCATATGTACAGGTATTTTCATAAGGCATATAATATCTTTGCATTGAAAATAAATGAACATTATTAAATTTAATTTAATATATACTTTCTTTGAGGTGTTTATGAAAATATTTTTTCTCTATATTTTTGTATGTGACATGATAGAAATATTTCATGGGAAGTACAGGTTAATATATTTTATCTTTATAAAGGCATATACAACTTTGAGGCAGTGTTTCTGATGGACAGCAGAATTCCTAAAGAATTTGTATGTGCTTCTGTGTTTTGAAATCATATGAAATTGACTTTAAGAAGTAACTTGATTAAAAAAACGCACCAATGCACAGCCAGAGGCTGACAAGTAAAACTAATACATAGCCACATGAACAATATATTTATATCGTTAATATATTTTTTTTTCAAGATGATTGGTACTAACATATAGTATTATACATTTGGCACTACTGTTTGCCATTGGTCCAGCAATTGGCAAAAATTTGTTTCCTATGTATAAATCCGTTTGAACATTAGATCTGGCTAGACATATTTACTATTTATAAAAAAATATTTAGACAGTAAGCTCACGTTGAATAACTAGGTCTACTGTATTCTGGAAACTCTTCAGTAGTAATACAGCTTTCTCGTGTTCCATATGTACAAAACTGTGTCCGTTCGCCTGCAACAGAGAAAGGAGAAGAGAAATGAGCTGAGAGTCCCTTCGGGGCCCCCCCGCAGGGTTCCCCGGCGGGGCCAGGGCGGAGGGACTTACTGAGGACGCCGTTCCCCACGCCCCCTAACCCAACCCCCCCGCAACCCCCCCGCAACCCCCCCCGTTAAAGAGGGGCAATCTGAAATGCCGCTCGCGGGGGGTGCCCGCGGGTGCTCAGCGAGGCGAAGCAGCCGGCCCGCCGCTGGGCTCCGCTGAGCCGGGGCAACGCTCGGCTGGTGCAGAGCTGCCCCCGCGCCCCCCCACGTCGGGAAAATGTTGCCAGGCAGTGCTGCTGCACTTCCATCAGCTCGGTCCCCTGTATGGCCCCAGCCCAGGGCTGCAAGTGCGGCCAACTGAATGGAGCATCAATAAAATGTTGTAACAAAGGTAACGGTGGGCCTGACAGTTCAAAGGATGTTGATGGATGAGAAACTGGCCCTTAGCTACCGAAGCGATGGGAGATCTATCACTGTGGCTACTAAGAACTGAGACGTACAGAACTTGAGGTAATCTCCCTTGAAGACTAAAAGAAAGAAGAAACAAAACAACGAAGTGGTCGGACTCCAGAACAAGATGTGAAACCCACTGTCAAGATAAGAATGACTGATCAAGTATAATTCTGTGTATTCTGGATTAGGTAATGCTTTGTAGGTGCATAAACACATGTGTGCGAACTCATGTAAGCTGTCACTCTCTGCGGAGGTGACCCAACGCTGCTGGACCTGAATAAAATCCTAGAGTAACCCACGACGGAGTTCGAGTCTCCTTTAACACCCCAAACCGCCAGCGGGGACCCCCCCCCCCGCCCCCCAACTGCCCTTGGGCCGGGGAGCCGCTGGCAGGCCGAGGGGCACCCAGAGCTCTCCGCGGCTGAACCTGCTCACCCTCGCCCGGAGCAATTCCAGAAACGCACCGCACGGCCACGAAGCAAAACCCAAACCCAAAATAAAAATTAACCGGCATTTAAAAAGAGGTCGGTGAAGCCTTCGTGCTTCGGTCAATAAACTGTGAAATTTGTGCAAGAACCACCAGACGTCTCCCGCCCACGTCCAGACCGTCATACGCGGGCACCTTCCTGGCCACGGCGGAGCCACCCCGCCGCCGCCTTCTAGGAAAGAGGCTCCGGGGGCCGCCCCGCAGCCGGGCGAGCAGCACAAAGGGGGTGCCCGAGCCCCCCCCGGGGGCTCCCCGGCCCCGGCGGCCCCCCGCCCTCTCGCCGTGTTTAGGGGTGCCCAGCCCAGAGCGACAGCGAAGAGCGGTGCGGAGCGCGGGGCGCTGAGCCGCTCCCCGCCGGCACGCCGGCCGGGCAACGGGGCAGAGCGGCTCGCTCCTGCGACGAGCCACGTCCGCTCTGAGAACCGGGAGTACGGGTTTCGGGCAGGAAAGGCCGCCAAGATTTTTGCTTTTGTGCCAAAGTCAGGCGGCCGTTTGGCGCTCCGGTCGAGGTCGGCTCGGACCCTGAGCTGATTCAGCGGGAAAGTGAAGAAGTTTCAGTTTATTCACCACACAGCTCACTGGGATCTGTACTGTTCATTAGGGGGAAAAAAAAAAAAAAAATAATAACCTGCAAACAAACCTGAGAGCAGGGCAGCTCAGCCTCCCCCCGCTTCTCACCTTCAAGCTACGCAGGGAGGGGTGCAGGAAAATGTTGTGCAGGTTCAGCTCTAGCTAGCAGAGAAACCTCTTTTCTACAGGAAAAGCTTCTCAGTGGGAGAGGGCTGTAGGAGATACGCTCCCAAAAAACCCTAAGCAGGCCACACCCAGAGGGATTTGTTATTTAACATACGGAGAAATTACAGTTGGAATCTACCTCTTTCATCCCTGCTGTGGTCACACATTCCCCGCAAAATATGCTGTGAAATCTGCCCACGTATTTACACATGGAGTTATTATTTACGTCACGTTATTAGACCAAAAGAATGGGGTTTAGCGGACTTCTGGAGCCATCAAAACAAGATTTCTTAGACCTGGAGGTCTAAGATTTCTTAGACCCTTAACGGCGGCAAAATTTTACGGCACAGCTGATGGAGCTGCTCCCTCCCTGCTGACAGACTTAGCAGCCGTACCGCTGCCTTCCTCCTCAAACATCTCCTACTAAAACCGCTGCTAATTTTATAACAGAAAAGTCATCCTTACTTATCAAATAAATAACTTGCATGCTTATGAGGCAGAAAGGAAAGACGGAACAATTTTGCTCCCGCCAGGATCCCCGCAGGGCCGTGGGCTTCTGCACTTTTAAGGACCAGGATTCGCCCACCACAGAGGACGCACCGAGACTCTTCTATCCAAAACAGGCCACGGGCAGAACAGTATTTAAGACTGGCCGTTTCTCCGTGAGCGGGGCAAGTCCACCCAGGGAATGTCCAGCCTTTTCATTTTTAAGTCTTCCCTCCTCCTTTTACCAAAGCGGCTTGGGGAGACACATCAGTGCGTGACAGAAACGTTCCTGCTTCTCCTGAACGCATCCTGCCAGGCAAAGTTTTCCACGGAAACGTTTTAAAAAAAAAAAAAAATAAAATCTCCCCCTTGGTCTGACCGAGTCTTCCTGCGTCTCACCTCGAGTAACCGGAGGTCACGGCTGGGGAGCACAGACGGTGCCCCGAGGCCGCGGGCTGGGGGGGGTCACCCGGCGCTGGCGGCACCAGCCAGCGCCGCTGGGGAGTCACAGACGGGGCGGGAGGGAGAGCCCGTGGCAGGACGCTCGAGGTGACTCTATAGACACAGATCACGGGGCAGACAGCCAGGGCAGGGCGGGCAGGGAGCGGGGAAACGCGGCGGGGAGGTGGTTTCTCCCACCCAGTCCCAGGGGAAACCGGTGTCACAACCCGGGCGGCACAGGTCACCGGGGCTGCCGGGGGGCGAGGGGAGCCTCCTCCCGCGCAGCAACCGGTGTGACAGGGGCCCGGTCCCTGGCAGGGCACTGCCTCATGAGAGAAACGCAAACAGAGGGGATGGCGACAGTGGAAAACAGGGGTGGAGGTGAAGTGATGCCAGCGAGGATCAATAATTTCAAGTTCTTACTGCCTGGGGAACTGGATGCTTTCGGCTAAAGGCATTGCTTAGAGTTGAGAAGTAAAATATCCTTCAGCACAGCTGCATTTTTTTTTTTTTCGCTGCTAATTCCTTCATGGGATTAATGGCTGACTTTTTACTTGTCACAATATAAATCCACACCTGGTAATAGGTACTATGCACGGGAAGAAGTAATTGCAAATAAGAGGAAAATGTTCTTGCCAGAGACAGTGACAAATGAGAAGCTCTGCTGAGGCTGATCCACAGTCCCACAAGAACGACTGAGAGCCCAAAGCCGAACAAACTTCATCAGCGCGAGCGATGAGCAAAGGAGTGAAACTCGCTGCCCGAAACAAACGCAGCAGGACCTAAAGTGCGATTCTATAAATGCACGTAAACGCTCCCGCGTTAGGCCCGCACGCCTCGCGAGCAATCCCAGGCGCTGCTGGCCCATGGGGACAACTCCTCTGACGGCACCGCAGCCACAGGCGGAGGGCAGGCCGAGCCCCACGTCTCTGGGGAAGGCGTGCGGGGTCGGCGCCGCGGCAGAGCCTGCTGCTACCTCCAAACAGGTTGCACTCCCGCCTCCGTTCGCCCCTGTCGCCGCGCTCGGTTTTCAGCAGAGCACCTCGACCGTTCCCAGTACCTCCCGCTAATTTTTGCGCTTCCTTTCGCGTCGCTGTTTTCTTCATTCCACTGGTTTTTGAGCAGACCGTGAGCTGCCTGTTGTGCAGCGCCCGTGCCGGGCAGGAGGGGCAGGGGGAGCGAAGCAGAGGCCACCCAAGACGTTCCAAACATCCTTGGTTTGCTGGCTTCCTTCATGGAACCGATTAAAGCCCAGTTCACCTCTTACCCTTGAGCAGCACGGCTGGCTTTAAAAACTGTTGTAAGCCTTGCGGACCGCTATAATGACTCTTCCTTTTGTCAGAAGTGATACCCTTTGCTGCCAGCAGTAAGACATTTGCCAGGCTTAACAAAAAAAAAAAGAAACAACCTCGCAGAAAACCCTTTTCTACATGGACAGCCGTTATTTTCTGTCGGTGAGGAATTTCTGGAAGGAATATTCAGGAATAGCCTGCCTTTCTATTTAAAAAGTTCACCGGAATACAGAAAATATTTGCTAGGGAAACACAAATGAGAACAAAAAGCTGAGGTGTCTCTGCAAATCGCGGCGCAGTAGTGGGCCCGGTAGCGGCTGTTCTTCACGCGAGTGCGTTCAAATATGCTGAGGCAGCAAAGGAGAGGCAAATATAATGCCAGGTACAATTCTGTCAAAACCCCTGACTCTGTAACTCCTTGCACCCGTGCCACGTCAGCCGCAAAGGTGAAAATTAGAAACAGGACTTGCTCTGCCCTGCGCTTATGCCGGTGAAACTGCCCGTCGAGCCCCTTCCCCCCGCACCTCCTGCGCTGCTGGTGGGGGAGCGCTGGATATGGTGTGCGGATTATTTCTAGTTTGGAGGTTAAATTGTGTCACCTGGACCATCCCTGGGACAGACCGTCAGCGTTAACCCTTCCCAGCAGTGCCATCCCTCCCCCCCAAGGCTGGTGCTGGTGTCCGTGTGCCCGAGTCTCGCGGCGGGAGCGCGGCCCCTCGCATGGCGCTGCTCCCGGTACCCCCGGTGCTCCCGGTACCCCCGGTGCTCCCGGTGCTCCCGGTGCTCCCAGTGCCCCTGGTGCTCCCGGTGCCCCTGGTGCTCCCGGTACCCCCGGTGCTCCCGGTACCCCCGGTGCCCCCGGTGCTCCCGGTGCTCCCGGTGCTCCCGGTGCTCCCAGTGCTCCCGGTGCTCCCGGTGCCCCCGGTGCTCCCGGTGCCCTCGGTGCTCCCGGTGCCCTCGGTGCTCCCGGTGCCCCTGGTGCTCCTGGTGCTCCCAGTGCTCCCAGTGCTCCTGGTGCTCCCGGTACCCCCGGTGCTCCCGGTGCTCCCAGTGCCCCCGGTGCTCCCGGTGCTCCCGGTGCCCCCGGTGCTCCCGGTGCCCCTGGTGCTCCTGGTGCTCCCAGTGCTCCCGGTGCTTCCCGTGCTCCCAGTGCTCCTGGTGCTCCCGGTGCTCCCAGTACCCCCGGTGCTCCTGCTGCTCCCCGTGCTCCCAGTGCTCCCAGTGCTCCCGGTGCTCCCACTGCTCCCAATGCTCCTGGTGCCCACGGAGCTCCTGGTGCCCCCGCTGCTCCCAGTGCTCCTGGTGCCCCTGGTGCTCCCGGTGCTCCCAGTGCTCCCGCTGCTCCTAATGCTCCCGGTGCTCCCAATGCTCCCGGTGCTCCCGCTGCTCCCCATGCTCCTGGTGCTCCCGGTGCTCCCGCTGCTCCCGCTGCTCCCAATGCTCCCGGTGCTCCCACTGCTCCCCGTGCTCCCCGTGCTCCCGGTGCTCCCCATGCTCCCAATGCTCCCGGTGCTCCCAATGCTCCCGGTGCCCCCGGTGCTCCCAGTGCTCCCGGTGCTCCCAGTGCTCCTGGTGCTCCCAATGCTCCCGGTGCCCCCGGTGCTCCCAGTGCTCCCGGTGCTCCCAATGCTCCCGGTGCCCCCGGTGCTCCCAATGCTCCCGGTGCTCCCGGTGCTCCCAGTGCCCCCGGTGCTCCCAGTGCTCCTGGTGCTCCCAGTGCTCCCGGTGCTCCCAGTGCCCCTGGTGCTCCCGGTGCTCCCCATGCTCCCAATGCTCCCAGTGTTTCCAATGCTCCCGGTGCTCTTGGTGCTCCCGGTGCTCCCGGTGCTCCCCGTGCTCCCAGTGCTCACCCGCCTTTCCTTCAGCTCCCCGCCAGTGGCAGGGCCTGTCGGGCAGCACACCCCAGCGCCTCCTTTTCACATCCCCAGTTTGTTTCCTTCCTTCCTTCCTCCCTCCCTTCCTTCCGAGACCAGCTTTCACGGGTGCTGCGGGTAGCACGCCGCTGGAGATGGTTATTGAAGCACCGTAACAACAAAACCAGCAGCTAAGCCGTGCTGCAGACCCTAGCACCGCCCTCGCAAGACGCAAAGACTCAGTTCAGGCACAAAGCAGTTAAATCCATCCCTACCTGGAGGATCTTGTCGCCAGGCTGGAGCAGGCTGGATGCTGGTCCGTCAGGCTGAACCCTAGTAACAAAGATACCCTATAAGTCAGAAGTAACAGAGGTTAGGATGCTATCACCAAGAACTAGTTCCCAAAATACAGGGGTCTCCCTAACTGCTGTCGGGGGCTTTAGACACTCTGGCAATGGTCTAAACACTAAACTCTTATTTTTAATCTGTTTGTAATCAAACATTGGTAGGGGTTTGTAGCAGCTCTACGTGACCTTCAGCTAATTATCACCTGATCCAAATATAACTGTGGGTCGTCTGAAGATCCACATCACAAAATAACGTCCAGTACGAATAGGGCAAGAGACACGGGGTTATCAGGAGGGTAATTAAAATGGAGCAAGCATTAATTTATGAGAATAATGCGTACCATAATCAATACGATAGTCTTTGTTTACTTCCTCTAGGGGGAAAAAAAAAAAAAAAAAGTTTTAAAAAAATTTCTAAAAAGCAGTCTTGCTATTCAGCCCTTGAGATATTCAGTACAATGGGCTGTAGGACCGTCACTTAATCCAGTGTCTGAGAACTGAATGGCTTTGAAAGGGGAAAAACTATTAAGTATTAAAGGATTGGTTTAGATTTGTTTTCAGAATTTTAGCGGCCGATTGCTCCTGCCTCGCCACCCCCCCGGGGTGCCACCCCGCAGCCGGGACAGAAAACACCATCACAGACCAGGGGCACGCACCGCGAGAGACGGCATCGCTCGCTGAGCGCTCCTGGGATATTTCAAACGGGATAAAGCTGTTTTAGCGGGGTGGGAAGCGCTGTTTCAGAGTCACAACACACACCAAAAAAACCTTCTAACCCCTTCCGTATAGCCACCCTATCACTCCCTCAGTACGCAACCTTGAATTTATGCCATTGGTAAAATTAATTCCATCCACAGCTGGTTTTGCACGGCAGCTATTGCTGGTGCACACGCTTCCACGGTGGGATATGGACTCTTCTTTCATCATTTCAGGCAAGTGACAGACAGTGGCAGTATAGCTTAATTCTAACGTCGTACCCGAAACCGTGGAAAAAAAGACCGTGATGTTATGAAGTGTAATTCTAGTGTGCAGCCTCAAAGAACCACACCAAACCCGAGTATGTTTTAAGGGACAGCTGTTAAAACGCCTGACAGCTACGTACAGCAAATGGAACTATTCTCCAAGTTCACAACAAGGATTATCGATGGGGAAACTGAAAGGAATTAAGATTGTGTTAGGTCGATATTTCCAAGTGTGGTTTACAATTCCAATTAGCTTTCTGTTGTAATTGAGAGTGGTGAGGAAATTGTTTTTTTAATTTGCACGCAGCTTTCAAATCTTCGAGACGGGATGAAAAGATAGGTTTAATCTCATCGTTGGCCAAACATTCTCAATATTTATGGGAGTTATGACTGCTCTTAGAACTGAATCCAGTATTATCAAAGAATATAAACTAAGAATATGTTTGGCAGAGGTATCCACAATACCTGTTTTTCAACAAACTCCGGTTTTGCCGCAGAGAACAGACAAATTCACAGGTCCCAGAGTCCATTCCCTAAACCTCAAGCCCTGCGCAGCCGATCGTCACCCGACGCTGTATTTCTACTAAGTTTCCTTTTACTGCAAAGGGATTTATCAACCTCTGGGGCGTGTGAGCCCCAGAAGAGAGGCTGAGTCTCCCTGACCACCACGCACCGTAACGGTGAGGTTTCAGTCCGCAGGTCAGAGCAGCCGGCTGCGTGCCACGGTGTCTGCAAGGCACCCACGGGCTCCGGAGCACTTTGCAGGCCAGGCCAATTCTATTTAATACAGCTGCTACAAACCCCGGCATTTCAGCCACCTGGTGATGCTTTAATACTGCTTTAGCGTCCCCTCTAATAACTTCAGTGAAAGTTTAATGAGGGCCCATATTGGCATTTAAAAGAAAAAAGTGAGAGAGAGACGATTCTCCAGAAAACAGTCTCAAAAATTATCCTGCACGTGGACTATAAGGCAGACACCCGTGTGATTTCTGTTTTGATTCTCGTGTCTTCATTAACCAGAAAAAAAAAGCAAACACTCCCCTGACAAGATAAAAAAAAAAAAAAAAAAAAAAAAAGCCAAGTATGGGTAAAATTATTTCGATTATCACAACAAAAGTGCATAAAAATTTCCCTCCTGTTACCTACGTCTCCACTATATGGCACTCTACAATAAGGACCGTTTAGAGAGAAGTTTGTAACTTACCTTATCGGAAGGTTTGAATGGATTTCCTTGTCCACTTATTCCACCACTGATACTAAAACCAAGGCCAGGATTCTTCTCTATCCTCACACAAAACTAGGTTAAAAAGATACGGCACGATGAGTCAATGCCAGCATCAAGGCCTGTCTAAACAACGGCATCTGCTGCACACTTATCCCGTTTCACCAGCAGCAAGGCGAGTGGACCCTCGCTAAAGCTGCACTGCACAGTACAGTAAAGTGCAGAATATTGTTACAAACCACAGGTATTTTCATGATTTTTAGCATGCTGCGACGATACTATAACGCTCACAGTGCTGCATGTGTTTTTGCATGTATTTTTAAACTTTGTTTTCAAGAATAAAAACCCTTTAGGCTCGTGAAAGAGCAGTTCACACTGGCCAAATTTTTCACTTAATCGTTGGGACAAACCTGTCGGTGAGGCTTCATCTTGTGCGCTTTTATTTTCCCAGAAGCTGCCACGCGCAGCATCCTCGGGTGCTGCTTTTGGGAGAAACCCCAGGAATTGGCACCCCGAAGCTCAGAGCTTTGTCAGCCCAGGGCCACAGCCCCGACAGCCTGCACCGAGCCCCAACCGCTTTTACAAGCGCCTTGCTCCAGGAAACAGTGCTGACTCTTATCTTTCAGCCAGGATGACTCGAAATGGCTTTGGGTAATTGAATATCAAAGAGAAATGGCTTCAGTGTAGCTTAATGACTGCTCACCGGGCCAGCCCAGGCGCGTGCTAGAGCCACCCAAGCATCCGCTTCTGAACCTCAACGCAACACCCAGGGCCTGAACCCAGGCAGCTACTTGCGTGGCTCCGCCGATGCTTCACACAAGAGAAAGGCTTGCTGATGATCCTGAGCCTTCCTCTGCAAGTCAGGTGCCTCGGTTAGCGCAGTCATTAAGGCCAAATATAATGAAGGTAGGAGCACTTCATGAAGAAACCCACCAGCACCCGTTTTGTTAGGCGGGGGGCCCTGGGGCCACCGCTGGCCCCGCGTGGGGCCACACTGGAGCAGCCACTACAGAGATCAGCGTCTTCTTGCTGCACTGGTAGCACCGAAGTGGGTTACTGGGGAACGTGCAGAAACCCCAAATAACCGCCCAGGGGTGTCAGCTCTGCTCGGGAACTTCCATGCCAAGTCGCGTCGCTTGGTCAAGCCAAGAAAAAAAAAAAAAAAACCCAAATGTCATCAGTGCCCAGCGCCAGGGAAGGGGACGGAGCCGGTCGCCAGCCCCCAGCTCAGCTGCCACCCCTGCCTCCCTTCTGCTGCACGCAGGGAGAAAAAAAAAAAACAAAAACAAACCAACAAAAACCCAAACCGCCAGGTTTTGTCCAAGTGCTCTTTTACAGGCACGTTCTCTCACCTGCTCCTGATAGGCATCCGTACTCCTCTGGCCCTTGGTTTGGATCAAACATCGCCCCGTCTGAGGTGCCCGGGAGCTCTGGGAAGAGGGAATCTGAATGGGCAGCGGCGGCTGGAACTGCTGAATGGTGACTTTGTTCATGTTTCCCTCGTACTGCTGCTCGCGGCTCCGGTGCTGCAGGCTTTGCGACCCCATTAAAGTCTGGATATGGCTACCTGCCTGTGGGCAACGTAACCCGTTAGGCCAGAAATTCAGGAAGCTGAAAAGAAGCAATTATTACAACTTACAGAGTCAAGTAACAGCAAACCTCTTCAAGCACATCAGAGGTTTGCCTTTTGACCACAGTTGGAAAGAACCGTGATTAAAAGCAGCAAGGACGCGCCCATTGCATTTAGTGACCCTTGGAGGTTTCAGGGACATTAGCCGCGCACAGCATGCTTTATAAAAAAGATAATATTGTTTTTCCTCGTGTCGCGATGTATGCTTCTGCTCAGAATGTTTTGTCGACGGAAAACGTTTAATAAGTTGAAGTAGGGTGGATTATTCATCACAGCCCTCTCCGAAGATGCTGGAATGTTGATTTTTCTGAGGATAGTTTGGAAGAAGATTTATAACACACAGATATTGGCCAGCACTGCGCACTGCGTATGCAAAGCATAATCAACGAGTGCCTTGTCCTAAGAACAAAGGCAGCTTTTACAAAATGTAACTAAGCAAATTATCAAATTTCTGATAGTATATACCGATTTGAAGCTCTAGTATTTTGTAAATGTGAGTGAAATACTGCATGTACATTGATTGGGCCTTTTGATATTTTCAGAAAAAAATGGATGACTGCTACCATTCTTCTACCCCCTCCATCCCCATTGCCTTTCACGTTTGCAGCTGGGGATCTGTTCCTGACATGGTGAGGTTGCATATTTGCTTACTCTTCAATACACAGCCACTATTTCGGCACACAACTTACATAAATATTTGAGGCGAATCTTTGCAAAATAAACTCAGTTGAGGCAATTTTATACTTTTCATGTTTACAGGAATCAGATGTTGTCGCTTATAAATAAACATATGCAACTTAACCATAAGGGAACGAGCAAAATCCATGTTCCACTGTGTGATCAAGTATTATCACGCCCATAAAATACTGCACTGTTGCTACTGAGAGTTCTCAGATTATATGGACCCATCAACAAGTGCTATTATCCGAACACCTGAACGCGAAAGAACGTCACAACTGCACGTCTCGGTATCTGCAAGTCTCTATGGACAAAACAGACCTACTTAAATGACATTTCACATTAAGTTCACACCAGCCAACGACACAATCACACCTTGTCATGAAGGTCTAATCCCCAGTGCTACCGAACCTTTATGACCCTGGGTGGAAGAGCCACCAATTGTGAGACTGTATGTTAGACAAGATCAAATGTAATACAGCAAAAGATCAACAAATTCCTTACCCATTGGCCGATCATCCGGCCTCAAAAGTTAGAGCAGCCAGGGCGTTAGAATGAATGGCTTGTTGCTATAGCAAAAATGCATCTTCCTGGATTTCCAAGATTTTTCTGCAGAACGCATCATTAATACAGATGCAGCTGGAGCTGCTCGTGTCACTGAACACAGAATCCCAGCAAGACATGCAGTGACTGCGAGCAAAATTCGTTTTTTGCTGTCGGCATTTGAAGAAAGGGACGAGGCAGAATACATGTCTGACAGTTCTTCACTTTAGCACAAGAGGGATAGTCCCAACGCGAGACACGACAGAGCAATCTCTTACTCCTTGGGCTCAGATCTTCGATCCCCAAACGCTTCTTAAAACACAGCTCGCCCGTGCCAGCGAAAGTGCTTAATAGCCATCGACAAACTTACTCCAAGAACGGCCTGGTGAAGTCAGACTGAACTGCGAACACCCCACTTCACAGGTCCAGGAGATCTTCATTTCAGCCAAGGTCAGGAGGGAAGGAAAATGCCCCGGACAGACTTTTCAGCTATTCATTAACCCCCCCGCAGCGACGCGCCGTGCCCGTCACCCTGCACTGCGGGGATGCAGCACGGTCCTGGACTTCACGCTGTGTCACGCTCGTCACAAGAGGATCCCCAAAAAGCAGAATCTCATAAATTCTGCTCTTTTCCCCAGATATAATCGCATATCCACCACAGCAGGTGCACTGTCTGCCTCAGAGGAAGATGTCTGTTTCAAATACTCCCCGAAATGGCGCTTCTTCACCGAAAAAACCTCAAAATCTTCTTTATCACGGTAAAAGACCTCTGTGTAGAACGGCAGGTGCTGGAAATGGAAGAGAGCCTCCAGCCTCCAGGTCAGAAAGGGAGAGAGATGGTGGCTCGGACACTTTTGCACGCCCCAGTATTGAGGCAGCCGCCTTGCTCGGGTCTCACAGGCTATGCCCCTTCCCCCCGCCCCGGGAGCCCACGCGGGGCTCCCCAGGCTGCCTTCGTGTGGGCAGCTGCCCTCCCGCTGCGGGAGGGGCCGGCTGGCACGGCCCCACGCGTGCTCTGCTCAGCCCCACGCATGCTCTGCCCGGCCCCACGCGTGCTCTGCTCAGCCCCACGCGTGCTCTGCCCGGCCCCACGCGTGCTCTGCTCGGCCCCACGCGTGCTCTGCCCGGCCCCACGCGTGCTCTGCCCGGCCCCACGTGTGCTCTGCTCAGCCCCACGCGTGCTCTGCTCGGCCCCACGCGTGCTCTGCTCAGCCCCACGCGTGCTCTGCCCGGCCCCACGCGTGCTCTGCCCAGCCCCACGCGTGCTCTGCTCAGCCCCACGCGTGCTCTGCTCAGCCCCACGCGTGCTCTGCCCAGCCCCACACGTGCTCTGCCCGGCCCCACGCGTGCTCTGCTCAGCCCCACGCGTGCTCTGCCCAGCCCCACGCGTGCTCTGCTCAGCCCCACGCGTGCTCTGCCCAGCCCCACGCGTGCTCTGCTCAGCCCCACGCGTGCTCTGCCCAGCCCCACGCGTGCTCTGCCCGGCCCCACGCGTGCTCTGCTCGGCCCCACGCGTGCTCTGCCCGGCCCCACGCGTGCTCTGCCCGGCCCCACGTGTGCTCTGCTCAGCCCCACGCGTGCTCTGCTCGGCCCCACGCGTGCTCTGCTCAGCCCCACGCGTGCTCTGCCCGGCCCCACGCGTGCTCTGCCCAGCCCCATGCGTGCTCTGCTCAGCCCCACGCGTGCTCTGCTCAGCCCCACGCGTGCTCTGCCCAGCCCCACGCGTGCTCTGCCCGGCCCCACGCGTGCTCTGCTCAGCCCCACGCGTGCTCTGCCCAGCCCCACGCGTGCTCTGCTCAGCCCCACGCGTGCTCTGCCCAGCCCCACGCGTGCTCTGCTCAGCCCCACGCGTGCTCTGCCCAGCCCCACGCGTGCTCTGCCCGGCCCCACGCGTGCTCTGCTCGGCCCCACGCGTGCTCTGCCCGGCCCCACGCGTGCTCTGCCCGGCCCCATGCGTGCTCTGCTCAGCCCCACGCGTGCTCTGCTCAGCCCCACGCGTGCTCTGCCCGGCCCCATGCGTGCTCTGCTCAGCCCCACGCGTGCTCTGCTCGGCCCCACGCGTGCTCTGCCCGGCCCCACGCGTGCTCTGCTCAGCCCCACGCGTGCTCTGCCCGGCCCCACGCGTGCTCTGCTCAGCCCCACGCGTGCTCTGCCTGGCCCCACGCGTGCTCTGCTCAGCCCCACGCGTGCTCTGCCCGGCCCCACGTGTGCTCTGCTCAGCCCCACACGTGCTCTGCTCAGCCCCACGTGTGCTCTGCCCGGCCCCACGCGTGCTCTGCCCGGCCCCACGCGTGCTCTGCTCAGCCCCACGCATGCTCTGCCCGGCCCCACGCCTGCCCGGCCCCGCAGAGCTCCCCCTCTCAGATGCTCGCCACCCGGCCCCCAGGTTGCCCGGCCTGATGTCTGTTCACTTGCCACCTCCGTTCTCCCTCTTCAACCTCTCTTTTCCCCCAGGAGCGGTTTCCGAGCTCCCTTTCAGCGATCCCTCTTCCTTTTTTAGGGGGGAGCAGCTAACTCAGAATACAGCTGATTTAATCAGGCACGTAGCCGACTCCCGTCTCGCTGACACGACAGAAAAAGTAATCTTCCATTACTGCAGTCTTCTAATAAATCGGTGGATTATTCAAGTTGAAGATTCAAATATCCAACTTTTCCATAAGAGAAATAGCTCATAAATTACGGGATGATCACGTAAATGATCATACTTAGAACTGGCATTTAATCTGTATTCCGAACAGCAAAAAGGACAGAAACAACACTCACAGCCCACATAATTATGTAGTGGCCACTGTGTAGTATTCCCACCCTGCCTAGCACGCCTAAATCGCCGTCACTACACACATTGTAGCCCTCTAGGTGTGGATCATTTAGGAACACGTATTACTGTGCCTATATACGTACTACAGCAGCCTGAGTACACAGTCCATCCGACTACAGTACACGCTCTTCCCCTTGGAAGAACAAGTCCCAGCTCTTCCGCCAGTGATTTCCCAATCACAGCTCTACCACACCGTGACTCTGCCCTGCAGGAGCCCATTCACACCCGTACTGTCAGGTCACAGCACAACATACACTACAGTTTAGGTTTCCGTCGTTTAACTGTTTGTTACGCTGAGCGTTATAGAAGGTCTTCTGAGTCTGACTTCAAATAATCGCTGGATTGGAATCCCCAGGTGCTGGGAAACCAAGACACTCGAGGTCACTTTCAGTGGAGAAGAGCTTAGCACTGCCGTAACAGCACGTTGCAAACCACCTCCAGAGGACGGCGGGTAAACAATTTTCAGAATTTGTTCTCTCACTCCCGTTCAAAGAGTTTGAAGGGATCGTATCACTACTTCTTGTGTATTCGGACCGTAGCTGTTGCTGGAGGTGGATAAGCTGCCTTTCTTGGAAACGAGAATTATTTATCCTGCAGGAAAAAATTCTCCATTATGCAGACTGCTTCCCCAATTTCATTTGTATTCTTTACTTTGTTTAACATCCAGCACAAAAGTTAATTATTTTCAGCTCAGTGTCCAATATTTACAGTATAATTAAAGTAGCTGACAACGGCTGTAACAATGGATTGCTCCGCTGAGTTAAGCAGATTTCGGCACAGTTCTGCAATGTTTGTACTTACCACGTCTGAGCAGTGAGATACCGAAACATTCAGAACGAAACAGAACCTGCAGTTTCTTATTATAGTAACGCTAACGATGCACAACTGCGAGACACGGACCGCGTTAGATTGTGTGAATGGATAAATGCAGGTTTTATCCCAGTATGCCAGTGGAGATAAGCAGCGACTCCTCTTAAAAGTCTCGTCCTGGTTTCTTGCACTTCGGAGGGTAAAGAAACCCTTCGAGTAACTCGGCTGCCGGAGCCACCTCCCCCAAAGAGCGCCGGGGCACCCTCCTCCTCACCGCCCCGCGCCTGGGCAGGAGTCTCCGGGCGGCTCTCGCTGCAGTGGCCTGCGTCTCCCACCTTCAAGCAATTCCGTGTGCATCTCCTGGGGCCGCGTTTGTGGGAGGGCGTGGGCTACGGCTGCCGACACGGCCCGGCCTAGAGACACGTGGAGCCAGGAGGGAGATACTTGCCTCACCGGTGCCGACAGTGAATCCCGCTGCAGGCGTTATCAGCGCGCACGTTGCGACTCGCGCGCGGGTTCGACTCACTCGTGAGGCTTCCCTTCGGGAGCGAGCAGGGCCCGGTCTCCACACAGGGAACAAGCAACGCGGTTACCAGGGCTGAAATGTGCGGCTCCACCTTCTAGAGCTGATGGCAGAGGCAGCTCCGTTTGTCAGGAGGCTCCGTTCCGCAGCTTTGTGATCAGAGCGTCTGAAAATGGCAGTTCCTCAGCGGGTGAGCGGAGCCAGGCTGGGGCTGGGAGAGGGCAGCCAGGGTTTCCACAGGAACGGGCCAGATCCGAGCGCTGGAATTTCATATCTGCCACCACAAGGTACTAGAAACGAGAGGCCTTTCGTTCCTAGCGAGTCTCTCAGCAGACGATGCGCGCCTGGGATGTCTCCGCCGAAACGTCTGTGACTGTCCAGGCACTGGGCTGGCCTCCCCCTCCACACGTTAATTTTTCATCGCGAACGGAAGAATGCAATTGAAATGAAAAACGTGAACGAAGCCTTTTCAGGACAGGAGGGAGCCGGTGGCTGTCTGGCGGGTGCAGGGGTACACCCGCCCAGCCCACCGTGCCCACTCCCCCCCCCCGAGGTAACCACTAGCGTCGGCACACAGAAACACAAAATGAGGTAGCAGGCACGAAAAAAAAAAAAAACCAAACCCCTCCATCCTTAACCCACCGCCACGCCTGCTTTCGGCTCCGAAGCAAGAGCGCGGCGTTTCCCCAGCCGCCCTCGCCACCCCGTCCCCCTCCCCGCGGCGCTGCGCGGGGCAGCTGCGCCGCCAGCTCCACTTACCTTCTTGGTGACGGTGTCGGGGGGCACGTCCCGCCGGCCCAGCGGGTAGGGGTTCCACTGGCCGCTCACGGACACCTCCTCCTGCCCGTTGTCCAGGATGCTGCTCTGCTGCGACGGGGTCTGTTGCGGAAACGGTAGGGCAGCCTTTAGTCACTGTCACACCCCGAGCGAAAGCTCTCGCTTCAGACTTGTTTCAGCAATCAACCCAGTTAAACTGCAAGAGGCTAGCGCTAAAACGGAAATCCTTTTAAATCTCTACGGCATTTCGTTAACGCGTAATCGCACCGCTGTGGGACCCTTGGCAAGCGGGAGGCCTCGGGAGGCATGTGAGAGGAACAACGAGAATAATGAATGATGAGAGAAAAGAGAAGATTCATTTAACGCAACTCGTTATTTTCAGAGCAACAAATTTTGGCAAAGCTCCATCTCTTAAACAGGCAGTCTAGCTCAAATCAACCATTTGAGTTAAAACTTTCTTATTGGTCGCTAAAGCATCAAAAACCCCTTTAATTACGTACTTGCCACCAAGATTAAACTACACGCTCATACTTCCTTCAGAAAAAAATCCCTAATGGCAATATCGAGCTTGTGGCCGCTGTCCCCGCGCGGGGCTGTGTGTCACGGGGCGGGTGTGCTCCTCACAGCCCCCTCCCCAGGCTACGGCCGGGTTTGCTCTAACGGGATCTCCTACGGACAGCGTTAACCCGTAATTAAATGCCTTCCTGAGTATGGACGGACACAACACACATTTAAAGGCTCCTAAATGAGCTTGATACTTTTCTTAATATTTTCTACTGCTTTTCTCCTTTCACGCGTTTCCTCTTTCTGTCACTTTCCCCCCCTAGTTACTTCACTCTCGTTTTCAGTGCTTCCGAGGACATGTGTAATTCTTCTGTCCCATCCCGATTTTCTGCTAGCTGTCTCTGTAATTCTGTACCACAGGAGGAAATGTTGCTAACGTGGGTGTGGCTTTTTGCGTTGGACTTTCCAAAATGCCGACACCGTACTACCACTGACAGCACTTAGCTTTATGTAGTGCTTGTTCAGTTAGCTGCTTATTCAGCTCTGATTAATGGTAATCTGCAAAGAAACAAAAAAAAAAAAGTCTGCAAAGAAAAAAAAAAAAAAAAAAAGCCTATTCTTCCCCTCTGTCATTCAAGCGAGTTCTTCTTCATGTTAGATTTAAAAAAAAAATCATGAAACACGTCTTTAGATGACTGAAGAACAAATGAAACTGTTGCTTTGAAATATAAAGCCGGTAACTGGTCAATTAAGAGCTTTTTTTATGTGCAAGCTTAAAAATCCTTTAAAAGTAAATAGAAGTAGATTTAAATCACACCCCTCAGAGGTTAGGTAAAAAAATTCAACCGTAATTATTTAAAACCAAAGAAAACTTTCATTATAATTCTCCCGTAATTCAAGAAGTCTTCGGGAAAAAGTAGGAAAGATGTGGCTTTCCTTATGGTAAAAACCACGAGCAAAACACTTCCCCTGTTGAAACTACAGGGCCTCCCTGTAGCGCTCTCTTTGCACCCATTAAAACCGGAGAGACGAGACCAGCTTCAGCCCTTTTCCCCGCAGGCTGCCCCTCCCGGAGCGCAGCGCAGGGAAGAGCTGCTCACGTGAAGAAAAGGACGCCTGCAAAAATCTCTGCGTGGAGAAGGAGTAAAAAAAACAACGGAAAAAAGCAAGGCTGGCCTCGTTGCGGTGGGAGTCATCCCCCGCCCCAGCGCCCGCAGGCCCCGGGCTGGGCTGCAGACCTGCTCGCCGCCCCGGGAGGGGAATTTATAGAATTTACAGGAGATGCTGGGTGCCCTCAGCGTGCAGAGGCAGAGGGGGCGGTGAGGCAGCGTCCCACGGGCGCTTCTGGTTTTCCTCCGAAGCGACACACGTGAACATGCCGACTGTTCCTAAAGGGACGGTGGTGCTGCGCACGTCTGAGAGTGAAAGTGCACCAAACCGTAAGCTTTTAGAAGAGCTGTGAGATGGATGCCAAAATTTGAAAGCATTCTTCTGAAAAGGGTTTCTTTTGTCACTGCAGACAATGCTGTGCCGTTTTTATAAGAGGCTGACTAATCTGCAGAGGTGAGTTTGCACTCGAAACAGAAAAAGAAAAAATACAGAAGGTGCTTTCTGCCTCCTCAATAAATAGGAAAATTCCACAATCACAGGTTTTTCTTTTCATTTTCTGCAGTGGAATGAATTCGTCTACTTGCAATATTATGCATTTAAAGAACTCGGACAGCAAGCAACCTACATATCTATTAAGCCTAGGTGAAAAACGAAGAGCAGCAGTTCAACCATTTTATACGTGGAGTACAATCGATGCAATAAACTTTCTCAGCCTGAGTAAGTGCTATACTTGATTTCCTGATCTTCCACTGGACAATTAGATCTCACTCATTACTCTCTTGAATCTAGGCCACAAGAAAGAGGAAGGAGAGGAGGTAAACATTAAGCTGCTGTGGCCTGGATTCATTAAGAAATGTCAATTCTTTAGAACACGTGAAGGCATAAAATTAAACAATACTGAACATTCATACAGTTTGTTCAACAATCATTTTTCACGGCTTTCCAAACAGCACAGTAAGAGAATATACCCCCTTCATGCAGTTCAGCAATCACATTTTATACGGCTACGTAGCAATGAAATGCTGGTGAAATGTAAAGCAGAAGAATTCACGCAAGGTCACACCTCAAAACACGTCACTCTCAACAGCTTCATGAATTTCCTCAGGCATCCGTGTACTAGTATCCATATCCATCTACAGCCTAAAATTCTTAAAGCGATATATAATACCTTATTCCTAAACGTGTGCAGAAAAATAGTACCATCATTTGGAGTTGATGTCAAATGGACTTCTTTCAAGGACTTGTGACAAGAACTGGTATATACCCAAGCAGACAAACACATTCTTTGAAGGAAAAAAAACAGTATGACCAACGCTGGCAAGCTGTCTGTGCCCGAACACACACACACACACGTCTGGGGTTGAGGTTCGACCTGGATGTCATCAACCGAACAACAGAGAAGCACACGCTGACACTGGGGCCTGTTTAGATGCAGGGACACCTGAACGGGAGGTGTAAATGGAGCTAACGGTGCACGGGAAGGAAGCTACAGGCGGAGCAGGCTGACAACAATGTGTGTGTGTTGGGGGGGGGGGGGTGTGCGCTGCCAACCGATCCCACCTCCGCTCGGCAACGCAGCGCGATGCCCGTGCCTGCGCGAGCGCGCCCAGGTCGCTGCCGTTCACTTATCTTATTCTTCTAAACAGCTTCGGATCTGAACTCTGAGAGGGGGCATCGGAACCCCCCTTTGGGAGTCGTTGGCCGGCCGGGGGTGGCCTGGGAGGGAGCCGGCTGGCCTGGGCTGAACCGTGCCCGGGGCCACTCCGGCGACCGGCGCGGACGCTCGCGCTGCGGCGCCCGGAGCTCTGCTCTGCTCCCCTTTAATTCCTCACAGAGGCGCTGCCACCCCGCCCCGCCAGCTCCTGCTGCTAAGGCAGAAAGCCACCGGAGGATGCTGGCCGCTCCTGGCCCCGCGGCCCCCCCGGCCAGGACCCCCCAGCAGCGCGACCAGCACCCCGGGGTGGCCCTGCGCGGCGCAGAGGAAGGTCTCGGCACCTCCCCTCTGACGCGCCAAAAATGCTCCGGCAGTGTCCCTCTCTGGCTGGGCACGTGTGCTCCTCCCAGCAAGCACTCGTATGTAACTCTGTACGTACGTACTTATCACCAATATATCGGTAACAGCTGTAAAATAAACAGTGAAAAAGCGAGAAAATTATTTTCTTTCTATAGGCGCTACTCAACAAAAGCTTAAAATCAGTTTAGGTGTGGCAGGCGTGCACGCAAAACTCATCAGCTATCACAGCACACCCAATTGACGTTCAGATATTAAAATCCCTGTCTCTTGGAGCCTATTTAACTACACATTAAACGTCTCTACATTAATTTTTCTAAGATCAGGCAGTCACAAAACAAAACACGTTCTCCGTTCCTGGGCACAGATCAAGTCATTGAGAAAACGATCGCATCAGTCTGTAACACGAGAGCAAAAAGCAGTAATGACAGCCATGTGAGCTACTTAATCCAAAAAGCAAGATTATGGAGTAGGAAAACTGGATTACTGTCAGCCTTGCTTTTTGGATTGTGTATAGTATAAGCATGAGTAATAGGCAAAAGCTAAACCGGGAAAAAGCAAGGAGTATTATTAATTTATTTGGTAATGCTGGTATATGCTGGCTATCCCATACTTACTTTCGGTAGAGGTAGCTCTTGAAGCATTTGGTTTTCAAATTTAGATTTAGTCTGCAAGTTTAAAGTCATGCTTCTGCCGGCATGCATTGCTGAAAAACCTCCAGAGTGCAGCATGCCAAGGCTAACTGTGTTGTGTTTGTAAGCAGCGGTCTGAGTAGAGGAAACAACCACGTGACAGGATATGAACACACATGCTCATCGAATTAAGTATCACACATATATGGTTAATTTCACAGAGTTTTAGTTTAAGCAAACAAACAGTACCAAGAAATAAATAGCTTCTTGATGCATGCACTGGGTCACACGGAAGCAGGTACATTACTAGTTATACATAAAATGGATACCATAAAAGACTTCAACGCTGACAGCAGATGAAATATGTTGTTATCTGTACTCTGAGAACTGCAGTATATAACATGGTACAAGTCTCTATTTTGCAAATACGGCCAAATTTTGGTACCTCTGTGCAACCACTGATGGGCCAAGAAAAGACGTATCTAGCATGAAGGAGCAGGAAAGGCGGAGGAGAGAAGCCTAGAGAAGGCGGCTGCGCGCCAGCTCGGGAGCTCTGCCGGGGCTCCCCGGCCGGCGGCTGCCCCGGGGGGACGAGCTCGGGGGGGGCAGCACGGGGGGGACAGCACGGGGGGGTCCTCAGCGGGCAGCCCCCCTCCGCCGAGCTCTGCTCCCCCGCGGGGAGCGGCGTTTGGCCGGGTGAAATCACCGGTGTCAGCCTTCCACGGGGGGGGTTCAAGCATTTCTTAAGCAGATGCACACTGCAAACTAAGGGTGAAAATATTCCTTAAGCAAACCACACCGGGGAAGGGTTCGTCTCCACCAGAAACGTCTCTACTTGGGGCGCTCTGCTTTGCCTGGGTATTGGGTATTTTCCAATCAGTTTTACACAACACGAGGAAAACAGCTGAAGTAAGGAAAAGGCTTCAGCCTTCAAGCCAGTGTTTAAAGTTTACCCATTTGACCCTTAACGACATTTTAATATGCGCCACAGCCGAGCAACTGGAGGGCAATGAATATATTAACACCACTGATGAGTATCTAGCACAAAATAGGTATATGGACACATTTTGAAACTAACTTACGCAGCTCGTGACAGTAATTTTTCACAACCACTTCAGATTACGAAGTAAATCCGATTCATGAAGTAGGCCATTAAATAGTCAAGATCATTACCGAACTCATGCACTATAGTACTCGCACTGTTTTGTATAGAAGGTAAATAAGCGTAACTTCCTACCGCTGAAAGGAGTAATAATCATATTCCTTGTTAAAAACAGTGGCAGTGCATAGCCAGTGGTATTTTTCAGAGTTAAGAGGTACCTTTAAATCCCCTCCACTAACAGTGATATGGAAGCTAAAATACATTATTTTACTTTTTATCGGTGGTGGTTTTCTTTATTTCCTTTTACTGCAAAGATGCAGCCAACATCTTTTAAAGCTCTCAAATCGTGACTGAAGCGGTGGGCTTCAGCAGCACGTTCACATCTGCTGATAAGGAGAGATTCTGACGGCTTTTGTTATCTGCGCCAGCGCTGCAGCAGTTACCACGTTAGTGACGTGCACCGCGGGTGCGCGACTCGTGCAGAGACTCTTTGTTGCCCATGTACCCGGGAAGCCCTCACTCCAGCTGCTTTTGAGCACCCCCAGGCCCCTTTGCGGGCCGGCTCCTCTGACACCGAGGCAGGAATTTCATTACTGGGAATTCTGGTGGTGACCGCTGTACGTGCAAATAGTTTGACAGACCGAGACACACAACTAAAGGCATTAATTGCAGAGAAGTGCCAAACATACCCTGTCTAACCTTCTAGCTTCTATATGTCTAAGTAGCTGTTGTCTCCAGTCAGCGGGCATTTTAGCACAGCTCTCATTTCCCTTCACAGGGGTAGGCCTTGTCTTTATATCACTGTTATCGGAAGGCTTGTCGCCATAGTTACCCAAGTTATAGTCTGACGGTATCTTTTCCAGCAGAGCTGCCATTGTAGGCCTCGCTGAAACCGGCCTGGTTTGGGATGTGCCGTAACTCTCTGTACTGTAGCTTCGTGCAGACAACGGCCTCCTTTGTGTCAGGTTTTTAACTGGAAAGCTTCCAGTCTGGGCTTTCACTTCCTGGTAGGAAGGATGCTCGTCTTCGTACCGGCCGTTCCTCTTGAGGAACTGAGACTCGGAGACCGAGATGCTGCTCTGGCGCTCCGCAGCTCCTCGGTACGGAGGCCGGCCGTACCTGTCGCTCGGGGGCAGCTCGTGGGGCTCGCTGACTCTCCTGAACATGGACATCTCGGTGGAGCTGACCAAGGAATCCGCCCTCCTCAAGAACCCCGGCCGAGCCCCTTGGCTCGCGAAGGGGCCGCCCGCCGCCTCCTCGTTCACCGAAGGCTGGGAGAAGGAGAACATGTGCTCCACGGGCGGGTAGCCGCGGTAAGCCCTGGGGCTGACCAGCTCCTGGGGCAGGTTTTTACTCTGCTGGGGAATGTACTCGGGGTTGAGCTGGAAAGGCGGCGGGAGCCTCTTCTCCGCCGTGACCTCCACCGCTCCCTGCGGGTTGAAGCTTTGGTCGAACTGGTAGACTTTCTTCGTGACGGACGACTTCTGCTGCGGCTGCACCTTGACGCTGCCGTAGGTCAGCAGCTCGTCGTCCAGCATGGGGACCGACTGGCTGCGGGACATGCTCAGCATGCCGTGCTCCGGGCCCAGGAGCTTGTCCACCCTCTCGTGGGTTCCTACAGTATCGTTACCAGATGCATAGTTTTCTAAGGGTATATTATACACTTTGTACGTACCAATGTCTATCTCATCGATGCTTTGCGACTTCTTAAACTTGTTAGTTTTTAAATCCCTCATCATGGGAGAAAGCCGTTCCGTACTCTTGCTGATCGAAATAATGCTTTTGGAAGGATCTGGGCGACAGTGGATATGGGAAAAGACGTTGGTGAGACTTCTGTTGGCATTTGAATCGTGATATTCCCACGCTATTCCTGGAGCGAAAGTGCTAGTCATTTCGGGGGACTCCTTGACGTGATCTTTCCGCTCAGGCAAAGGGCTGGTGGTGGGGGTGCTTTCCAGTTTGGAAGGAAAAGCTGTCCTGTCTTCAAAAGGACTAGGGGTTCTGGTCCAATTTTGCCAAGGATTGGGAGGAGGCACTTCAGATTCGTGTGTGTTTCTGAGCGTCGGCTGCTCCAGCTCCAGGGGAATGCCAACTATCCTGTCTTGCCTGATCAGCGGCCTGCGCCCGTGCGCGGATGTGCTTCTCGTTTTCGTGCTCAGGAGGGGGTTAGCACTGGGATTCTCCACCGTGCTCTCCTCCGCCACGAACCCCGTGTTATCGTAGTGCGAGCCGTCGTTCCAGCTGTCGGCGAAGGTGTCGCTCAGCGGGCGCCTGTCGGTGCGCGGCGGCAGGTTCCCCGCCGGGGCGGATTCCCGCTGGCTCAGCAATGGCTTTGTTTCAAGGGGCTGTGGAAAGGACTGTGCCAGCCTGCAAAAGCCAAACGAAACGAGAACAAGATAAAACGCCCTCTGCTAGAGCACCCGAGCAGCCGTCAGAAAGACACGGCTATAACACAAGGTAACGTTCCTCCACCCATACCCGGGCTCCGGGACCGCACTATGAGACGCGCAACGCGTGCCACCCGTTTGGCACGAATGGCTGCACCGGTTTTTTGCACTGGAGCGCAGATTCTGCAAGGACGTGCACAGAGAAACTAAAGAAGTCACTCAAAAGTCCAGGGTGGCTCAATGCCACGGTCATATAAATCCAGCTGGGCGTATTTTCCTGCTTTAAAAATAAGCTATGAGCGCAAGGGAAGACTTTTTGATACTTACACTGTTTTGGGTTTTTTTTTTTTTAAACAAAAATACCAGAATCGGTTTGTGCACGTTCTCGCCACCAAGATTTTATGCATCTCCAGTGAGTAGGCTCCAGCCTCTCTTTAACAGGAAGAGCCTGTGGACGGAACTACACGAGGTGATTTATGGCAGGGACAGAGAGCGCAGGCTGTTTCTGGTACGGTACGAGAGCGTTTTCAGGGTGCTGATGGCCAGTGCAAATTACAACTTTCAAAGAACTGCGTTACTCTTGGAGGTCCAGGGCAGAGTGAGGCTCAGGACAGCAATAATATGAGGGACACACACTCTGCTCTCTACGCTCAGCTACAGCCAGCTGAAGCTCAGGACCCCACGGAGCAGAATAATTGCAGCTCAATTACCAGGCGCTTTTAATGCACGGCTCTAGCACATGGTTGAAAAACCAGCTGCAGAATTACTGACATTTACAGAGTATGAACGGGTGGCCAACTCTGCACAGCCTGGGCTTTGAATAGCTATGTACACCCCTGCAAAACCGGGGTAAAAGCGTCGTTATTTTTTAATTGGATGCCTTAACAGGCAGCATACGATCACTTTGAATGCATATGACAGCGGAAGACGAAAGGCAAGCAGAAGCTGTGTTAAGAAAGATGATCACACCTGTTCCCCCACAAAGAGTTATTCACTGCTTCTTTAGCCGTTGTCTGCAAGGACCCCATTTTAACATGCGCGTTGGAGGACCCTGAGGAAGCCTGGGAAGGGGAATAGTCTGAGTAAGTGCCTGAGGAAACGCTGTTATTCAGACAATGGATCTTATCTGCTTCAGACTCGTCTGTCGATTCTGAAACAAAACACAGCAAACATTTTCAGGAGGTGGTAGTTGAAAACTAAACTCCAGAAAAAATACATTTTAGAATTGATACTGCGGCTATGTGTACACACATATGCACAAATACGCATGTAGCATGTTTTAAAACCAGGGTGAGGTGTAGAACATCTTAAGTAATGTGTCTATCTGCGTACATTACATCAGCTTTCATCTAAAAGGTTGTAAGTCAAGTTAGTACCTTTCTTCTCTTTACCCAGAAGAACAAGTTTGGGTGGGTACAACGGAGTCTCCGGCATGGAAGGACGAAGTTCCCCTATCCTCATCTCACTGGCAGGATGTCCAAAGGCATCCTGAGGAATATAATAATGTAGAGTAAACATAGGAAACAGAATCCACTTTCAAATTGCAACAAACAAACATTTCACAGCCTTCTTTTCATGAACGTGACAACACACCAAACCCCCACCATACGGGTAGTGCCTAATCATGCTGATTTGTCAGCTGAAAATTCTAATTAGTCCTACATAAATACTTGTAAAAATTTTGGTGATGTGATCATTCTGAAAATGTGGACAAAACAGATGGAACTTGCAAGATACATCAAGGCCATGTCAAAATTTTTGATGAAGCAGAGGTCACAAAAATGCAAGCTGCCAGTAGAAATAAATGAAAATTTAGAATAAACATTTACTTCTTATTTTGGGAGTAAGCATTCCTCATTCATTTATATGTGGCACAAGTCCTTCCACAGATTCAACTGTCCTCATAGCTACATTTAATTAAAATTACTTTGTCTCCAAAGAGTTTTTTTACTAAATTAAGCTCATTTTACTCAATTAAGATCATTCAGATTTCATAAACTTCTCAGGAGAGTCCAGCAAATCTTGGCCTTCAAAGACTGCCCCGCACAACTGTTTCGCTGTTCTAGCCGGCAACAGGATACACACTGAAAACAACACGAGTTAAGAAGCGGAGAGCGACTGAGGTGTAGTCTCAGAAGGAGATATTTTAAATCAGGACAGTGAAGTTGGGCTCGCGGGATAGCTAGAAGGGAATGAAGACACACAGAGGTGATCCGTGGCATCTCTTATCCCTGGAAGGAAGTTCAGCGATGAGAAGGGCGCTGCCCTGAAGAGGGGTGACCTGGGGAGGGGGCGACGCTTCCTGGGGGAGCCCTGCCCTCGGGGGGGGGGGGGGGGGGGGATTTTCGGAAGGGGAGCTGGAAGAAGGAGCACGGTGGGGACCCCTCGGCATGCGCGTTTGGGGGGGCGGGCTGAGGGAAAGGCGGTGGGAGGGGAGCGGGGGGAGAGGGGCACGGCAGCCCCCCGAGCCGAGGGCCCCGTGGGGACGGGTACGAGAACCACGCGCCGCCTCGAGCGAGGGGGGGAGCTGCGGCTTCATGAGGAGGATGGAAGTTGGAGAAGGAGAGCATCTAGTGAAAATAGGAGGTTCAGAAGAGATAGGAGGAGAAAATCAGTAATTAGTAGTATAAACAGGGAAGGAAAGGGGTAGGAGAAATAGATTTAGGAGGGAACTTACGCTAACGGAGACACTATGGGGATCTCTGTGCCCTGACATTTGGTTGTTAAAGGTACTCCAGTGATTCTGCAGAGTGAAGTCAATAAAGGAAAGAGATGTAATATTTCCAGAAACAATTTAAAATGGAGTACCACAACCACATTATTAAAATGTGAAATGCTATAATATTTTTAAAATTTACTTCTTCTCTTAAGGAGAAAACTTTCAGAGGTTCACTCTCCATTAACTACTTTTTGTAGCAACAGTGGAAACAGAGATTTGCAGAAGCATTTGCCGCGTGATTTGTCCTTGAAGAATATAATTATATTTACACAACAGGTATTTTAATCCTTCTGCATTTGGTTTCTACTGGAGGGTAGTACCATACCAAAACAACAAAGAGCAGGTATCTTCACAGCCCGTTTAATTAACCCCCTCCGTGCTAACACTGAAGCAAATACTGCTACATACCAACTCTTATATGGGGTGATACAGTCAAGACTTTGAATCACTTTCCCACGCAGAGATCCCTTGTTGTGTATGGTATTTCTTACACAACGGTAGTGATGCACATACAACTGAAAGCTAACAACAGTGCCAGAGCATTTTCCCAGTGCAGCACAATCATTTGCTAGTGCAGTGTAACAAACTTATGCAAAACCTTTTTTGGAGAAATAGAAAAGTGCGTAGCATTCGCCGAGTGTGAAATTCTCCACCTTTGAGGCATGGTGCATGTTAAGCTTCTTGGGCCTCTGAGCTTTCTGAATGCTCGTCTTTCTCCTTCCTGTCTGGGATTTCCAGAGTCCATTTATGAATGTCATCTGTATCAGACAGGTGACTCTTTTGGAAATCTTTATTTTCTCTCCCTTGAACCTAGAATCCCAATATTATGCCATGAAACCTCCAAACGTTATAAGCTTAAAATAAAACTACGTGCTGTAAGATAGGAGGAACTAGCAGTTCCATTTTTGACATAATGATGAAGCACATTTTTATTTGAGGTACATGATTTTATGAAGATTTCTATGTTTTTTTTTTTTTTTCTTTTTCTTTTCAGCCCCTCTTCCAACAAAAATCAATACGCTTTTGAAAGAACTAGTCTGGCTTTTGTGAATATGCCATAAAGAGAAATACGTTGTAAAAAAACAAGACCATACTTCATTTCATTCTGTTCTGTTTAAGAGGACCTTTTTTTCTTACAGGCCCAAGAACAAAAAGACCACTAATAGGGGAAAAAAAAATTAAAAAAAGTATTGTTAATAAGACCAATTGCAAGAACAAAGAGAAGAGATAAATGAAATTGTGTTGTGTCAGAACTTATTCCTCAGGACTAATCAGAGAAAGACATAGGTAGAGGACAGAAAAATATGGTGAGCTGTTTCCCAAGAGAAAATACGTGGTAAAAAATATTAAAATGACCGAGAAAGAGAAATATCACCAATTATTCATGCTGACAACACGAGAACATTAAATTGTAATCTGGAGAGATGGAATTTTTAAAATAACCCAACTCCTAGAGTCTGCTTGCAGAGAATATAAAGCCTCCGAGTAGAACAGGCTGGGGCTCTGGGCAGACGCAGCACACGCAAGGCAGAGGAATGTGGGACCATTAATGATGGATCTATTTCAGAGGAACAATTAAATATATGCAGAGGGTTGGCAGCACTTCTAAACTGGAGAAGGCTAGGTCAATCTGAAGACTGACAAGCTGGCTATGAAGAAATGGTGAAGAAAAGAAATAAACGGACTAAGGTAAATGTTACTCGGTCTAGTCTTCTCCTGACAAAAATCACAAAATGAATTCCATCTGAAGCCCAGCAGGTGAAAAGTGGTCACAGTTCTGGATATTCTCCTGTCTAAATTAGCAGTTACCAGACTGATCTAAATAAAGTTCAGTCACCAATCCAGGAATGCACTGAGAGTCACCCCAAGACATGGGATTATCCTGGAAGAAAGCGGAGTGGAGGATCTTCCACTTGCTCCTAAATCTCTCCAACACTTCTGGCAGTGATGGCAGCTTCCAGAAAGGCCAGTTTCAGTAGCCATTAGACCCGAAGGTTGCCCCAAACAGGACGTTAATACAAGATATAACTGAACTGGTGGAAGGAAAACTTCTGAATGTGGACATGGAATCTGGAAGGGGGAAAACGAAGGAACCCCGACACTCTTCCTCCCTGCAGAGGTGACACAGCCACGGCACAGATGCAGCGAGCTCTCACCTTTCCAGCTCCAGCAGGCAATCTCAGACGTGATAGAGCTTCAAAAGGAGGAGTAAGCACACGAGGCACAGACTGGAGCAGAGGCAGCTTTTGGGACACCCCATGGAAAGTCACAGTAGATCCTGGAAAAAGTTGCCACCTGCAAGTAGGGCATAGCGATTTCTGCCACGTGTCCTTTTGCCTTGCAGTCCGGTGGACTGGCAAGCAGCTGGAGGAACACAAACATTAACTTTGCCTATTCAGGTGATCAGAAATCCAGCCAAGGCGATGCACCCAAGAACTGACCAGAACTACCTATCCCCAGAGAAATCAGAGATCCCCAGCCTACAAAGATGTATTTTAGAATGAAAATTTCCACTTCCAGCAGTTTAATCTCTTATGGCTAAGCCTGCTAGCTGACGTGGTCAGGATTCTGCAAAGAAAAACTGCAGATGCTTATCTGACCAGTAATCAGTCATGTACTGGCGAGGATGGGAGACCTTCTGACACCATCCTCAGCTACAAACCACGGGGAGGCTCCTGTACGTGGTCCCCAGCGTGAGGACAGATGTCTCAGTACTGCCCTGAGTCACAACGCCCTGACAGGTGAATTGCACCCCCTGTGCTCTCCCACCTCTGCAGGAAACAAGCTCCCGTTGCTCTCCGTCGAGGTGGAAGAGCACCCAGCCTCCCCCATCTCGCCGAGGTTGCTGCCAATAGTCTCAGGCCTTTCGCTAAAAAGCCACTCCGTGGTCCATCAAACACAAACCAGGCCCACGTGTCCCGTGTTTGTACAGAGTGCCACGTCCAGACACGTAACACTGCACCTCCCGAGTCCTCGGGCAGCTGGGGACAGACAGGGCAGTAGCCTCAGAGGCTCAAGTGACGTCTTGGACTGATTTTACGGAAGGTAGGCTTCATCTTGGAGGCAGCCTTGAATAATGCCCCTCCAATCCAGACACTTAGATAAGGTCAGGCAGAAGTCAAAGTAACTCAAAATGAACTTTTCAGACATTTGACATCCTATCTGAAGAAAGGTCTCTTGTGAGTCAGACCTCCAGATGAGTAGGTCATTACCTCCTTTCTCCTTTGACAAGAAGGCACCAAGGTCCTAACCTCAGTAAAGATCTTTTGTGCCATGGAGAAACCAAAATCTCTACAATGAAGATATTTCTGACTCCTGGTAAAATATAGGTAATCCTGTTACAATGAGCTTATCAAGATCTGGGCTTAAAGCAGATACAAACCAAAAATCTTTAGCACATATTCCTCTCCCACTGAGGAGAGACTGTCATCGTGCATCTCATTAGTGGAAAACAGCTCCCACATTAGACACATCAACTGAATCGAATGAAGCCAGGCACCCTGGGGGAAATAAAAGTGCGTAAGTCTTCCTGGAAAGTCAAGATGATCTCTTCCATCTCTGAAATTTTCGCTAAAAACGAAACAAAAAGAACGCCCTTCTCCGCCCCCACCCACCCCAAAAAAAAAACCCACAACCCAAACCCACAGAGTAACAAAGCCAGAAGTTAAAAGGATTGAGGTCTTTTTTTGGCTGAGGTGAGATGAAGGTCTCAGAAGATCCAATCGAGCCGAGGCAGCACTTTGCTAGCTGTTAGCACCAGCACCTGCACCTGCATCGCACCGCTCAAAGAACAACGATCTCTCCTCTTTACACAGTACAAACAAACCCGCTAGGAATTAGCACAAAGGATGGAATGCTGCCAGGTGGACTAGAAAAGGCTTTTTTTAATCCAAAGCTGAGAGTTATGTACAAGTATTTCTAGTTTATTTGTCACTCCAGACATATCAAGAATATTAATTATAGATAGCTTAATAGCTGATCTGTGGTGTTTCTCACGGAAAGGCTACACAACACACCAAGTAACCCCAGCTGACTTTTTGTCCAAAATGCACATCTTTCTAAATGACTTAGGACAACGAAGAGGTTTATTTTAATTGATGATTAATTAAGAAATTGTTTGCTTATTATTACTGAAGGTGGAAGATGATACAGGGGATTTGAACTGTAGCTTGTTCCTCATTTCAGATGCTCCCTTTAATTATTTAGAAACAGTTTTGTGAAGAGACACGTGTAAATTAATTGACAGAAAACCCAGAAGAGATCAAAAAAGAAACCAGCTTATCTGGCCTCTGAGGATGAAAAAGCGAGCACTGCACCTGAAATTAAATTACCTTGTTATTAGAAACTGTCTTCAGTCTAAATCTATATCAGAACACACCTGCATTTTCAAACTGTATTTTAACTCGAGGCCTGAGATCATGTCTCCTAATTATCTCAAAGGCAAATGGAGCTTAATTATGTTTTATTTAATGTCCTACAACTGAAATCATGCTAATATTATTCACAAAATCATTCACGCTTTTTCGACAGCTCCCCATACCTCTTCTTTCTCTTCATGCCAGAAGCCAGAGAGAGGAGAATGCATATAGCATCCTGCTTTACTGCCAGAAAACCTTCCCAGTGTCACCAGTCGTACGAATGACAAGAACATTTTCTTTCTTTTCTTTAGTTGATGAGACGGTTGTGTAACTAGTCTTGACTAAGTTCTAGGGAAATTAAAATTTGAAAAAGTTCCACCATCTTCACTATTATAATAATAGAAGATGAAAAATACATCTTCACTGATATGATGGAAATAGTCATGCACTCACATCAGCCGCTTGCGGTAGAAAATTAATTAGGAAATTGCAACCACATTATTTAATTGCACTTGAGGAATTACCACAAGGTCTTCAGCAATTCAACTATTTTTAGAAAATGGGTTTTGTGATACTCATGCAATGAACAGTTCACGTACATTCACAGAAAAATTAGATAGGATCATTTTTCTGTTGCAAAAGTGAATGCGATTTTATCAAAGAATGAAATTTGTCTTCATCTTTCTCCGTGCTAGAACACAGGAGGTGGTCGCACAAGCATTTCAGAGTAACTGTAGTATTTTATGGTGTTGCTGCCTTTTGCTCTTTCCTTACCCCTCCACAGCGGAGGGCTCACCGGGCTCTGCATACTCACAGGACTCGCTGCTGTGGCTCAGTTAACTGGAACGTTCACCTTTTAGTTTAACAACTGAACATTTAGTTTAACGCAACTAAACCAGTACAGCCACCTATTTCTGGAGCCTGCACCGCCAGGCCCAGCCACAAGAGCAAACCCCTGATGTCTTTGTCAGACAACATTGATTCAAATTCCAGCTAGATAACATGTGTGTGTTCACAGTCGGGCCAGTTCAAACCTGCAGAAAGCTATCAAGAATATTCAAGTTCAAAAGCTAGATGATACGAAATAAACCGTATGTATTTAGCAACAACAGCAGACCATGTCAGTACTCATGCCACAAGACAAGCTGGTTCAAAGGCCAGGTTTACACTGTAAGAAAGAATTTAGTATTTCCAATTTAGATAAAAACATGAATGATTTAACTTAAATATTTTAGTTTGAAGTACTAATCAAAACTGTGCCTCGATTTGAAGAAAGTCTTCTGAAGTCATCTGAAGAGAAAACTTTTGGGTTTTTTTCTTAAGAAATGAAAATGTTTAACTGGAAATAAAACACACAGTACTGACAGAGCAGCTACAATGATTGCTGAATATGTAAGAACAGCCAATCTGAGTTAAGGATATGGAAAACTGAGGAAGAGAAATTCACACGTACACGACTAGCCAGAGACAAGGATATTTCAAGGAAAATGAATTTATCATCATGTTTAAATAACAAAGGAGTGATAAGATAATGTGATGGGGGTTGGGTTTTTTCCTCATTTATTTCTTTTGAGCATTAAGACATCATAAAGATTTTCAAGAATGCTGGTATTCTTTGGACTTCTCCAAGCTTACCAACTATCAATACATACTGCCAGGGTAAGAAATTTCCCTTATTTATAAATTGTGCCTGCACAACGTAAGTCATTAGTGTGAATGCTAACGAGTAGGTGCCCTCCGAGACCAAGCTTCAGCTATTTGTAACGGCTCTGCACGGGACTCCAGCACGTAGGAATTCACCTTTCAGCGACTGCGTGACAGTGGAAGACGTTGTTACTGTGCATCCTGACCCACTTCTGGCAAAGGTGTTAAGGGCTGGGTTCTGCAACTCATTGTAAGCCACTACTCGGGGGCGGGGGGGCTGATCGAAAGTTCCCTGCAGTTGAAGAAGCACTCCTGCTGACTTCATTAACTTTTGACAAGGTTAATTGGCTATCTACCACTTGTAATGTGAATAGAGGAAGCAGAACCCAAAGGTATAGTAGGGTCAGAGAGAACAAAGTGATCTGTCATTAATGCATTTGATGCAGAAATACACTTACTGAAGTCTGAGATGTAAATTGTGATCGGGTCGATTCTCCTGCTAATAAGCAAGTCTCTCGTATCATTAAAATTTAGGAGAGTGCCTGTCTATATCAGTACCAAAATTCAGATCCGGGTAGATTTAAAACCAAAAATTCAGTCTGATAAACTCAGTAGTATTGGGAAAACCAGCAACTCAATATAAAACTAAATTAACTTTACGGAATGAAACTAGAAACTATTAAGTATGAAGTTCACAGCAGATGCAGAATATCATTTGATGGAGTTATGTTAAAACCCCATCTGGAACTCTTGAGAGGAACAACGATCCTTTTACATTACCTCCACTGAAATCTCCTTTGGTGCCATGGGCCACTTGTGCTCATACTTTTCTTTCACAGTTTGTTCACTGTTCGCAGTTGGTGTTGAGTTCTCAGGCCGTACTCCATGGCTTGTTTTGCCCACCAGATTTTGAACTGATTTTACCATATTCTTTAAATCCTCCGGGTATGGAGTGGGATAACGTTTTAGATTTATTTCAACCTGAACATTCATAAAAAGAATTAAAGCACAAATACAAAATGAAAACAGCATGCAAACTAAAACCATGGTACAGTACTATGGCTAAGTGCAAATTCCTCAAATTTTTAATTAATCTATTTGAGGTAACGTGTTACATATAGCTATTTTCATGGGTTTTTGGACTGAAATTTGCTCTCAGTTACACTATGTCAACCTATAATGGAATTTCAGCGACATAAAGTAATGGATGAGAATGATTCCCTATAAGTCTATCTCTTACCCTGTGAGAGTATTGTATTTTAATTTCACACTTTGCTTGGGAGTACTGACATACTCCATCACACTTTTGCAAACCAGTACTGGTGTAAATGCAGAATTAATTTAGCTACGTTCAGTGTCCTGATTTAATCTGAATTGTCTACGGCAGCTGAGAACAGACTCTGATCTACCGGGAGCTGCTTGCTCTTTGAGATGTACAATGTACGTACATGCACTCAATGTATCTCACTCTTTTCTTATACAGAAAATACAGGAAAACAGACTCAAACCGCTACAGGAAAGCCGCCCTAAGCCACACTGAACAGTACTTTGACCGACTGACAGACCTACGGATCTTCTAGAAAGCTCCGCATTTTGAGTTTATCATTTTTATCACTCAGAAGTAAAGAAACACTGCATTTCCCAAGTCCGAAGCCACCCTAATTTGAAGACAGCTCTACCCAATCTCAGGGCCGAGCGGCTGGGAAGGCTGACGGGAGGCGTCACCCCCCGTCGCCCGGGAAGACACGGCACAAACCGCTCGGAGGCGGCGGCGGTGCAGCGCGCGGCCGCGTCGGGCCCGCTCCGAGCAGGAAAGGCGGCCCGCGGGCCCCGCTTGAGCCCCCCCTCCTCCTCCTCCTCCCTCCCGCAGGGCGCCGCGGCCGTGTTCGCTCCGCTGAACGCCCCTCACCGCGGCCTCAGAAGAGACGCCGAGGGACGGGGCGGGGAGCGCGCTCCCGCAGCCAGCGCGGCCTCGGCAAGGCCGCTCGGGCTGCGCGGGGAGCGCGGGCGGCCCGTGGGCCTGGTCCCCGGTGGCGGGGACACCTGAGCCCCCCACCCCTGCTCGCTCCGGGCCGCGACTTGGGGTGGAAGGGGCCACCCGACCCTTCAGTGGCGTCAACTCAGAGCTCCTAGAGCGAGCTGGGCACCTCCGGGTGACTGCCCCCCGTCACGAGGCTGAGAAACCTGGAATCGCGCTTGCTGCGGGGTAACTACTTGGAAGCATTCACCACAAAGAAGCTTTTACCCCACCGGGTACGCGAGGCAAGCAGAGTACTTTTAACAACTCGCTACTGCGGCTGTTGGGTTTGAAATTCCTAACGAGTAGGAAAAACGTAATCTGGGGTTCATATGAATATGGTCTGTTGGTAGGAATACTTTAGAAGCAAAAGCATGATCGATTCGGAAAATAAAACTATATGAAATACTAGCATACAATTCTGAACCACAGTAGAATAAACATTACGGATAATAGATTCTGACATGACTTTAACATAAAACGTTAAAATGTGTGACTATGATGTCATATGTTAAGAAAGAATTTCAACAGAAAAAATACATTCCGTAAAGCATCACTAAAGCTCTGGTTGATTTACGGTTGAAAGAAATCGTACTTAGACGTGGCCTAATTAGGCAGTTGCTTTTTCACAAAATTCAGACCATGATGTAAGTGTAAGGTCTACAGGCAAACATCGCTAACAGTCAAGTCACAGAGCAAATCCTCGGTAAGGACTGGTCAAGGAAAAATTAACTGAAAGACTTCCGTGAGACAGACAAGTCATGGACGGGGATTTCAGCAAGAGTTTCGTATCACTGTGAGTATTAACAGCAAAAATACTGGCAGCTGTGGTAGGTGATATCCACTAGAATGCAGATATTTTCATCACTGCTTTAGATTTATCATTACAGAGGAAATCCGTCCTCCCCATCGATACAAATCTTGTATGTTTAATGCTACATCAAAGGTAGCATGACCCTGAAAAGCGAATTTTCAAGGTTCAAAATTCTTGATGGAAGAAGTTATTTACCAAATCTATTTTAACATATAGTTGGCTGAGAGTTCAGTTTTAACTATGAAAGATAAAAAGTGAAAACTGTGTGTGCTTTTATAAAATGCTACCAATGTTTGTTGTTACTGCCTAGTGACAACTCGCGTTAACCTTCAAATTCATCCCATGAAAGTCTGGTGAAACTGCTAAAAACGTATGTGTTAAAACCTCCCTAAGACCTGTTGCAACACACGGATGGAGTGACACACACTAAGTCCTCAGAAGGCTCCAGCAATCAGCTTTTAGTTCACGTGCACCCATCGAAACCCAGGCTGGTGACCAGTTCGGTCAAACAACTCTTTACAACGCTTTTATGGTCATTCATATATAGAGGTGGATTGGTGTTACTGGGAAGGAGCACGGACATGCCAGAAGCATGCAAACAAGCTTTTCTATCTTATTAATGGTAATTGAATTTGAGCTCATTTTTACGTGGCTTGGGCAAAAAGGCTGTTTTCCATGATAGGGGAAAAAACTCCAGACACCTTCAGTGGGAAACCTTTTCCTTTCACAGCCCGCCAAGATTTCCTGGGTTGGAACAGTATTCTTTCTCTACCTTCAGTTTTTCACAAACTGCAGGTACGTAGGGGGTAGCTGGTGTACACGCGCTGCGCTACGAGAGAGGAGAGACGCTCTCTTCAAGGCGCGCAGACAGGAGGCGATACCTGATCGGCCCCGAGCTCCCCGCATAGCTTTTCTTTAATCATCCTTCTCTATATAAGCAATAGCTGCAGCACCGGCTGCAAAAGCTAGTGGTTTGGTCTGGTGAGGAAACGTTGGGATCGCCGTGGAGAGGAGGAACGTTGGACTGAACGTGGGAAGAGAGGGATCTCATGCAGAAAGCGGCTCGTGTACTACAGCGCTGGTTGATACCCCCTCTCCGCGGATGAGCGGGAGAACGGGTCAGTAAGGCCCCCGGGGAGGTGCGTTCTGGCCCTGGGCTCTTACGCGGCTAAGGAGCGCTGACACAAAGGGCAGAGACTCTCCTGACCTTTCGGATGGCCGAGTCGAAGCATTACGGAGAGGCTCGGCCCGGCAGGACGCGGCTCACCTCACCCCCCCCCAGCCCCCCGCGGGCTGCCCTCCCGCCTCCTGCCGACCCCCCCCCAGAGGCACCCCGACCCACGCGGGGCCCCGACCCACGCGGGGACACGGCTGGCGGCACGGGCACGCGGCAGCCAGGGCAGGAAGGGCTTGGTTTTTTCTACAAGGACGGTTTACTCCAAGGAAATATTTGTGTCGATCATTCGTGGTGTTCTGAAATATATTAAAAGCAGACTGGCTGGCTAAGTGACGTAATCCACGCATTGCACTGCGATATTTAAAATCATGCTCGCAAGTAACAAATAATACAATTAAATCCTTCCATCGTCTTAGAAATTTACATCTATTTCTCTGTTAATATTCCGATTGTTTTGCATACTTGGACAGCCATATTACCCACAGTTAAAATTCTGACAAGAAGAGGAGGAACAACATAAAACTCTCCCAGATGTTCTGTTTTCCATATATGATCCATAAACCTGCGATTCATCTGGAGTAAAATTTCAGTTTAATCTATTTATTGCGAGGCAAGGGTTGCTCTTTGACTTCATTTTCTGTTTTACTAAAGCAGCAGGGTCCCTTATCTCTGGTTACGAGAGTTAGATGAAAATTCCTAATCGGGAAAAATGCTAAAAAGAAAAATCCCAAATTTCAGAGATCTAAATGGAATGTTAAACAGCTATTAGTAAGTATTGTTAATTTTTTAATTTTAAATCAGATTTTAATCTGATTTAAATCTCCTCACGTGATTTTGTCTCTGGCAAGACATATGCCCGATAAGTTGGGTATCCTACCACAGTTAGAAAATTTGCAGTGTTTAAGTGTTTGATCTGGGGTAATCCCTTTATAATATTCAAGAAATAGAAATTTTCATGCTACGTAAACGCAGACGGTCCTGACAATATCCTTCTAACAATGTAACTGATTAAGGGCTCGACTGAAAATTCTGGAATTCTCTTAATTTCAGATGACTGGGTGAGGTTATTCATGTTCTGATCTTCGTTTTTGGTAGGTTACAAAACTGATGAGAGATGCGCTCTCCACTGCACATTGCTGTGCAACTCCATGAAGTTGCAAATCTCTTGCTGACTTCCACTTTGAGAGGAATACGGAATCCCCTGCGCGATCGATAGGATTTCTAAAGAACTTGGCAGCTGGACGGTAACTCTAAGTCTCACAACGTTTTGTGTTAATTTTGTCTTCGTGACAAGACACCCGCCACAGTAGGAACCCCCCATGAGGGTTAAGGCCTGAACTGACCTACCAAGTCAAAGTTTTGCCGTCTGGACAGCAATAGCAAAAGCAGAAATCAGTAATGTGTACTTCAGGGAGAACAGATGTGCCGTTCTTCCACAACTGCTGTACCTGAAGCACGGTGACGAGTACATTCTGGGTATTTAGAACACAAAAATAGTTCAAATCACGATCTGTAAATTGGACCCTGTCCATAATACATGAATACCGGAACAAATTAAATAGAACTTACCTTAACCTTCCCTGCATTTTCCTCCTCTTCCTTTTTTTCTTCAAATTCAAAGGCAACAGTCATGCGTTGTTGTCTCTGCTCCTCCCATAAAGTAGGGTTAAAACTATCACTGTCTGACTGGAAATCTACAGTTAAATTGCAAACAGCAATGCACAAGAACAAGCAATTAGTGCACCCAGCAGAAGACTGGAAATTATCTAAAAAGACACGCTCTTAGCTGATCCTGTAATCTTAGGTTATTGCTTTAAAACTGCTGAGGGGGGGCATTGGGAGTAGTAACTAACGAAGCGTCACAAACAGAGTTTAGTAGTAAAGCTGAAGCGGGAGTGATGGGAAGCCACAGGGTTTGGGGGCAGGTCCGGAGCGTGGAAACTCTCTAACTCAACGCAGCTACGTGAGGAGCCAAACCTCAGTTCTGGCCGGCGCAGGGGGCTGCCCCCCGCGCCCCACAGCCCCCCGGCTCCCAGCCCCGTCCAGCATCTCTGCAGGTCGGGCGGGCTGCGGCCGGCAGCCTGGCCCCGCGGCAGAGCCCAGAGCCGCCCCACGCACACGCAACTCCCGCGTCCAGACTGTTTACACAGAGCCACCCTTCTGAAAATACAGAAGGTGAGTGAGGAGATGTGAACCTGATGGCCGGAGGATCACGGATTTGGAAAGAGGATTCCTTTGCGTGTGGCAAGCTACAGGCTGTTACGTGTGCGCCGCTGGCGTTACGTGCCAGAAGAGGCACACGCGCAGAACCGCGGCTGACAGCCCTGCCTCTCCCTCCCCCCTTCCTTCCACCGCTACCTCGGCAAGCACCGTTCCTGCCTTCGAAGGGACTGCTGGTGGTGTTTTACCTTCATCACTGCGGGGTTGCTGGGGAAACATGTAGTTAGTCAGCACTCTCTGCTTTGTCTCTGGGTGAGCCTCCGTTTGCAGCGGAATGAGAGCCTTGGACTGCACGGGAAAGGCAAAACAGAGAACTGTTAACTCCGAGCACGGGTGTCAGCTGAGACGGGGTTTTAGCATTTGATGAATAGAAAATGCAAGGTTAACTACAATTCTGGAGGAAAATAAACCTCTCTACGGACTAAAAGAAGTATTAATCTGGTGGAAATGCCTCCTCTCCCGTTCCTCACTTCTGTAATTCCTACAAGGATCAACAGAACACAAAGTATCAGAAATACTGCGCGTTCAGAGTCACACCAGTGAGGCAGCTGATGGATCAACAGAACAGAGCTGCGACCACACGGTTAAAACCCCCGCGCCGTGGCTGCCATCTACTCTGAGCTGGGGCTAACGAGGAGTGAACTCACGATAGTTATTAGTTCATCTGAGGGCAAACCTGGTGCAAGGCACTGGAGAATTCACACGGAGGCACTGTGGACATTCAGATATTACCTTCGTGTTTTATGGGGACTGATTATTTTTTCTTATTGCTTTGCTCTAATGTAGCACCTAGGAGTGGCTATCATAGTTCACTGAATAGAAATTATCCTATGCTATACCATGGAAAAGTCAAAAGGCTGAAAAGATACTGCGCATTTAAAAGAAAGCGTATGTTCTGTGGCTGGGCTGAGTCGTCATGCAATGTTATTTTTTTTTTTTTTTAATGCAAATCAGAGCGAAAAAAACGAGAATCCTAATTTGACACTAAAATTTACTCACCGGTTTCTCCTATCTCTCCCACCCAGCCTCCCCTCCCTTCGGCCTTAAAATTTTTTGGCTTAGCCGAGCCCTCCCCGCGGCTGCTCCGGGCGGGGAGCCGGAGGGACCCAGGGCCAGTGGCGGGGCGGCCGGCCCCAGCTTGGGGCGAGGAGGGCTGGTGCCTGACCGCCGGCGTTGGCGCGGAGCGGGAGAGCTGACCCCGGGAGAATTTCATCGAGAGTGTTAAAAACACTGCTGGCTAGGCGTGTCGCACGTTTCTAACGCTGTACAAGCCGAGGTTTTCTCCATTGAGACTTAAATTTAGGAAGTGCAAAATTATTCTATCCACCAGTCCCAAAAAAAGATCGAGACTTTTTTTGGTGCTTAGATGCTGGCTGAACCGCTACATTTCCCAGTGTTCGTGTTACATAATTTGTTTTAAAATAGAATCCTGAGGAATACACAGTAGTGAAACCAAACCCCTTGGAACAAAGAAAAGCATTCTTAAATTTAAAAGGAACTTCAGCAAGAGTTTTCTCCAAGTAAGACTAAGAGTTCGGGTGCATCTTTTACATGTTTAAACTCCCACTGACTTTAATGGAGTTTAAAATACGCAGGAACGGAAGCACGGACCGGAGAAGGGAGATGACCAGAACGGAGGCATAGACGGAGTAAAGGATGGGACAAACTAACGACAACTTTGATAGCAAAGTCTTACCTCTTGAATTTCTATTTACAAAATATCCTCTTGACACATTTTGGCCTTTATTTACTACTTTTGTAACGATATAGAAGCTTAGCTAGATTAAAGTAAAAACTCCTGCAAAGATTATCTTCCTTTCCAAGTCAGTAAATAACAGCCAGCAGAATCTATACCTTGATATGGAAGCCTAAAGCTGGACTGAGAGCAAAATTCTACTACAGTCATGTATTAAATTATAGGTTTCATTTACGACCCGTGCTAAGACCCCTAGTTACTAAAGAAAATATGAATATTGAAAGTCATTACCTGGTTGTCAGAAAGCCACAAAGCTGCAAGTTCTTTAAGTTTAGTAAAAGTGAACGGTAAATTCTTCAGTCTGTAAATGATAATATTGGAACAACATGAATCCTTCATTTTCACAATAGTGTCTTTTAAAGATTTGTATGTAGCACGTTTCTGTTGATCATACCGAAATTGCTGTAATTTCATATCTCTATTTTGTCTCACTTTTTATTAAAATATTTTATTAAGGGCATTCCACATTAAGAGTGTCATTTGGAATCTAAAACTACTGACATCTCCCCTAAAGGTATTGGGAAGATACTGGTATTTTGCCTTGGCTATAATGTAACCAAAGTTACAGCCTGTGACACAGAAAAAATCTTGGTCCCAGGGAGACTTACAGGAAAGACGTAACAGTTTTCAGTGTAGCTAACAGAAATCCATTTATTGGACATTTAAGTTTTGGAACCAAAATACTCTAAGGTCGGTGAAAATTCTTTTTTTTTTTTTTTTCCAGAAACGTTAGGGAAAAAAATTAAAATGATATCAATATTGATAGTAGCCTAAATGACAAAATTAAATTAAACGGTAAGAAAAGTAGCATTTTCATTATAGATGTAAAGACACTTCCTAAAAGTGAGCTGAATGTGGGAATGGGGAAACGATGGCTAGCTACTAGTGGGAACTTCTCTCGTGGTTTTCCCGCTAGCTAAGGCTGAAGACATCGTTTTTACTTCTCCGTCTGCGCCAGCACGAGGGGGCTGCCCTCACCCCCGGCGACATCCTCCCAGCTCTGTGCTACGGCAGGTGAAGGGGCTGGAGGACACAAGGACTGGCCGAAGGACAAAGACAAAAAGCGAAATGGGATCGGACGAGAAGAAAGGAGGAAAAGCCCTTTTCTGGGAGAGTCGGACCCCCCCCCCCCAGCCCCGTGCTGCGGCAAGAGAGGCCCCTGCAGATCGGGGCGCTCACAGCCCGGGCCAAGAGCGGCACCAGCAGAACCCTTCGCCCCTCCACCACCGCCCAACCAGCCCCCCCCCCCCGGCCTCTTCCTACCAAAAAGCCTCTCGGCGTTTCGGGGACTCCTGCCCCACGGCCCCTGCGCGGCGCTTTGACCGGGGCCCCCGCTACGGACTCACCGTGGACGGGCTCTCGCCACAAAGCCATCACCGTTAAAAACGGTGTTATTTCAGGCAGCAGCGCGAACTCACTGCACTTCACGCGTGTTAAAGATTTTAATAAGGACGCCTTACGCTCAAAGTAACTCACCCATAACAGTGAAATAAATCGCTACGAATGTACACCCGCGCACAGTGTGCTACGACAGAGCCTCCAGCTAAATGCCTGTACGGATCAGAGCGGTTTTCCATGTGTGCGCACGTTTAAACCAAGAATGAACGCCGCAAGAAAGCAAGGAGTGCCCCAACTACCTGAAATTTAGCTTTCATTCCTGTCCTATCATAACGGGAATACTGCAGTGTGGAACAGTGCAGTACGTGACAGCGTTTATAAAGTCAGGTCACAAGTTTAAGCTTTAACAGTTCACGCAAAGATTCTTAACTGGTGTTTATCCAGATGCTTTATTCAGAGCTTTTTTTCTGTGTATAAAGAGAACTTTTGCTTTCCAGGGGACGCCCTTCTTTCTTTGCGCTTCAGGATTCAGCACCTGTAACGTAAGCTTCAAAACTCTAGTGAAACCTTTGTCTGCAGGGGGTTACAGGTGATGCTCCCCGCGCACCCCAGTTGAGCAGTCTGCATCAGAGGGAGAAGCAAAGCTGGTTAAGCATGCCTCAGAAATGATGTGTGGCAAGGGGATTTCCAAGCTGGTTTTCCATTTCCATATTCAAACAAAACACGCGATTTTTTATTTTTAATTCTTCTTTGCCAATAAGCCCGGATACCTGCTTTTAAACATCTGAAAAAGGTCCAATTTTGAGGAGTCTTTAAAAGAAAAAAAAATCTCAAATTAGAGACCGAAGAATGGAGGCACCCAAAATCATTAGTGTTTTCTGAAAATTTTCAACCAAGATAAGCCTCAGCCTCTTTTTCTAATTGCAACTTGGTTTTGCAAGTTTAAGACTGCTTTTTAAATTGTGTATTGTAGGAACATTCCTCCCTCATCCGTACTTACAATGCACTCGCAAACACTCCGACTTTCACGAGCAACTGAATTAACAAGTGCTTTTGCATTATATCCACTTTCCAAACAAGGCCCATGGCAATTGTCACTCACGCTATATTAGTTTAACCATAAAAGGTAAACACATAAACGTTTTTCTAGCTTCAACAGTCAAAATAAGGGTATACTACAGCTACAGAGGGTCTCAAATATATCAGTTATGGATGGATGGAGGCTGGTTACTTTCTGCAGGCGACAGGCCAGATTCGAGTTGGTATCTATCAGCATAACCCTGCTGATTTCAAAGAGCTAACTCGCATCACCTTCAGTAAAGGAATTGGCCTCCTCCGAAGAGAAAACTGTTCATCAGTAATTGATAAAAGTGCTTAATCTGCACCGCTTCCACTGATCTACCACGGGACTGCCATCAGACAGCAGTACAAAGAAACGTAAGGCGTATGGCTGTGCTGTTCAACAGGGAGCTTTCTTTTATGCTTAAACGCTGAAACTTCTCACCAGACAGTTTGGAACATTACATATCAAATTGTTTTTAGGAATCTGAGGGAAAATATATTCCCGGTACTCGATGAAACCTTAATTGGTGCATAGACAGTTAATTAAGAAGACGGCCAAATTAAATTTAATTTATGACTCAAAGGCAAACGACGCTGGGCCAAAATGACTCACTCCTCCTGGGGACGGTATTTTACTCCGTGTGAACGAATAGCCTTTGCATGAGGCCACCTCTCCACTGGCAGGCGCCGTTTGGCTCTTTCAGAGCAGCTGTCGTGCTTTGGGCCTGATGGGCAGCCAACCCCCGCAGCTAATCACCCTCCCGTCCCCCTCCCCACCTGGGAATGGGGGAGGGATTAGAGGGGTGAAGGGAGACTCGCAGGCTGAGGTAAGAACAGTTTAATAATGGCAATAAAATGAGAACAATAACGATGATGGGGAAAACAAAAAGAGATATATAAACAGGCGATGTACAGCGTAATTGCTCACCACCCACTAACCAATATCCAGCCCGTTCCCGGCCAGCGACCCCGAGATACCAAGATCCCACAATCGCAATCCCGGGAGAGAGAGAGCCCCTTCCCAACCACCCCTCCTTTATATAGTGAGCATGACGTGCCATGATATGGAATATTTCCCTGGCCAGTTTGGGTCAGGTGCTGTGGCCGTGCTCCCTCCCTGCTCCCTGTGCCCTTGCGCACGGGCAGGACACGGGCAGTCGGAGAGTCCTTGAAGTCTCGGCAGCAGCTGAAAACATCAGTGTGCCATCAGCATTCTTCCCATACCAACCCCAAAGCTAAATCCAAAACACAGCACTCATCTAGTCCCTGAAAAGGAACATTAACTCTATTTCAGCCCAAACTAAGACAGCAGCTGTGGCCCGGCACTCAGGACTGGCAGTAGGACTGCTGGAAGCAGAGGCGCAGAGCCTGCCCCCGGTCCTTCGGGCAGGAGCTGCAGGGCACCCAGAGACACCCACGCCGGGGGGCACAGCTGCACCCGCACTGCTCCGAGCCCCTGGCAGCCTCCGAATCCCTAAGACATCCCTGGGCAATTTCTGAATCGCTAATAACTTCAGTTTGCAATCTCTTACACTGGTTTGAGACACGAGCTGAAGATGCGGTAGCCAAATTAGAGGAATCTCTTAGCGCTACAGAGATTATCTGCGTTCATATTAATTAGGTTAAATTACAGGTGAAATCATGTATGCCTTTGGTGAATGTAAAAGTTATTAGCAAAAATATTACTTTTAAGGTAAACCCTGAAGCACCAACTGATTTTTCAGGAAAACAACTATCCACAGTAACGGTTTGGAAAAGCACGAAAGGCGTATATTCTTTTTATGGTCTTTAATTTTCACCTAGAAAACATTTTCTTACGAGGAAAAAGGAGAAGGAACTTCCCCTGAAGTTCCTCAGGTGAATAAAACCAAACTAAACCAAAACCAGCACACTTTCTGAAGTGACTCTCCTAAGCATTAAACCGTTGTGCCGTATGACTGCACAACCTCGAAGCTCCGTGTCAGGGTGCTATGCCATTTTGGAGTGAGGACTTCAGAATAATTCCTTCCGTTATTAATCCTACATTAAATCTTTCGCATAATTTGTTAAGTTCTTAAGGGCTAAGTACTTTAAGAGTAAGCTAATGAATATTATTCGTGGAACACAAGAAAAGCAAGGAAAATGCCATCAATACTATTTAAATATAAAAAAATACCAATTGTCGATATTGGAGGGGCCTTAGGGGGTGAAAGTGGCTTTTGCTTTTATTGTAAGCCTCCTGACAGACATAATTTTGACTTTTCTTTTTTGTTAACAATTGTTTTTCTCATGGTTTTGTAGAATAACCCACTACATAATTGTACCAGGTACTAAATTTTGGTTTTGCCGTGTCTTAAGTAAGCAAGCTCAGAGTATGGGAAGAATTTCCATTATTATTAGTTTGAGTCATACAACATATAAAGAGCTTACTAAACACCTAGGGGAATACTTTCTAGATTCATCGATGCATATATTATACTTCGGTGACATTCAGAAAGAATTTTCAAATAATGACCCAAACGTGAAAAATTCATGTCAAAACATGTTGAAAGTTAATCACAACAAGCAGCATGACAGTCAGTCGGTCAATCCCAGAGATAGTTGTTATTTGTGACAGCTCTCCAAGGTAACTCTCAGCAAATTGACGTTAATAGGGTTTTCAGAGTGTGAAAGTTTAAAAGAGCATGATTCATATTAACCCACCAACATACTGTTCGCAAAGCCACTTGTGGATACACATGGCCAGATGCAATTACCTCTTTGGCAATAAGCAATATTGTATAATTAAATATCTAACCAGAAAAAGAAAAGGTACGCCAGGGAACACAGGGAACAGTCTTTTTTTTTTTTTTTTTTTTTTGAATGGATCGTGTAATCTTGGGACATTTTTTCCTCTAACTTCTGTGGGTGAGATTCAGAGCA